GCCTCAAATCCAGAAGGGGCCTCCTGTGCATAAAAGGTCCCCTGCCAGACGGGGCCTCCTGCCCATCAAGGGTCGCTTACCAGAGGGGGCCTCCTGTGCAGAGGGAGCCTCGGGGGCCTCCTGCCCATGAAGGATCTCCTGCCAGAGGGGGCCTCTTGATTCCTGCCCAGATAGGGCCTCCTGTGAGAAGGTGCCTCACATCCAGAAGGGGCCTCCTGCCCATCAAGGGTCGCCTACCAGAGGGGGCCTCCTGGCCTCTGCCCAGATAGTGCATCTTGTGCAGAATTATAGTAGGTTAGGCAGGAAAGTCAAGTGTAAAAGTACCCTAAGCGGTGCTCAGGGGGCCTCCTAATTATGACCGAGCGGGGGGGGGGGGGGCCCGGGCCCCAAGGCCCCCCCCTTGGGTGCGCCACTGACTCCTCTCGCGCAACTTTTGACTGACCCTCACTGCTACCATATTGCTTCCATATTATGCTGTGGAAAGCTAGTACTTCACCAAGTGGCTAAAAACCTCCATCAAGGTATATTTTCTTAGCATTTTTTCGGACGTTTTGGGGGGGGGCCAAACCGGCCACTTTAGGCCTTGGGGGGGGGGGGCCATGGCCCCCGTGGCCCCCCCCTGGATCCGCCAGTGCCTCCATTACCGCGTTTTTAGCACGCAAGCCGGTGCGGCGGCTGCCGGCGCACTCGCCGCCGATGTTTCGGAGCTCCGCCACCAGGGCGGCCGCTTGGTCGCCGGCGCTAGTGTTGGGGAATAGGGAGTGTCCTATCCAGGAATACTTCATCCATGGGCGGACGACGCGGCGCGCCTCTGAGGATCAATCCCTTTACTTTACTTTTACTGATTGCTTTAAAGGGACCCTCCCACCTTCAAAAAAGTTAATGAATTGACATGAAAGTGATGTCCCTTGGTTCAGAAAGAGCGAAAACGAATATCTACCAAATTTCACCGACAAATATTCACTGGTTTTCAAGATATAAGGCTTTTACTTTTGTTTACTTTTTGGGATCTCCCCTGTTACTAGCGACTTTATTTGGAAGCAATAATTTGGCAGCCTTAAAGTGCGGCAGACGTTGCGCGCAAAGCAGCGTATACCACCACGTGTTAACGATGTAGTCTAAGATTTAAAAATCGTTAGATCTCCGCTGACGTCACAAATTCTAAGGGGGCATTCCCAGGCCCATGTCGTCCCCTATCTCCCTGTGTGTCCAAGTACACAGATGACGTCACACGAAGGGGCGGAGTCTGGGGCGGAGCCTGGCGCAACGGCCGCCATATTTGAATTTGTTTTATTAGAATGTATTCTATATTTTGGGTTTCAGTCAACTGTTATCGATAGTTTTATGAACGGTTAGCTGTAATATAAGTGATTTATCAAGAAAAAACACATATTCTTCTTGCAATTTCGATTTAAGTACGACCCGCGCCTAGATTCGAACGCACGATCTTTGGATTACGGCGCAAGCATCCTAACCACTACACTACCGCGGCGGCGTGGCGGCCGGCGGAAGGGAGGCTGCGCAGGCATGGGGGCTTTTTTACGCATTTTTGGAAAAACTAGTGGGTTTAGTGAAAAACGCTTCTTAGATAATTTGAAGAAAAATGTCTCGGCTTTCCGATGATGCACTTAGTTTTGTGCTAGCTTAAGCAGAGTTTGTTCTACAGCGCTTCAAAAATGGCCCATTTGCATAGGACTTAAACGGGACTTCAAGACTTGCCCCCAGATGACGTCACGAGCTGACGTCACGATCAGGTAGAATCGCCGGACGACCCTACCTGGTATATAGGGCCTTGGGCATTCCAATGCATTAGCCCCTTAGAATCCGAAAACTGCAAGTTTGAAATTCCATATCTTCGAATTAAAGCATTTTTCGATGTTGTGAGTGCCCAAACCGGTATTTGCAGGCCATGGCCACCAATTTGGCTATCTCAACTCAAAACTAATGTTAAGGTGGGAGTGTCCCTTTAAAATGCAATGAAGTTCCCAGACCCAGATAGTATGTAAACCTATTACCTGCCTACCAAAATCTGGTGGTGGACTATGCCGACGGACTACATACAATAAGGTATTTCTTGTGTTTGGGGGCATTCCTATTTCCTTGCAGTCGTGGCGTTTGACTCATTTCACAAGAGTCTGCACTGCAGGGCTTCGCTGCCAGTCTCCTTATTCTTTTACCAGATTCTCACGCGAAGGCAGGTACACTCCGTCAAGTACGGGATATCAAAACATGCAATGGGATATCATTCGCATTTTTGCATACTTTTACTCATATGCATGCATGTATTACAAGGGTGTTGAATGTTCAAAGCTTCAACGCTTATTTGGGAACAGGGTTGTATACGACTCAATCAATAGCAATCAATTCAATCACGACAAATTTGGGAAACCAATCAAATCAATCAAGTCAGAGCAGTTTTCGGGAATTGATTCAATCGACTCAAACGCGACAATGAAAGGAATCAATCAACGCAATCAAACGACTCAAACCAAGATATACATTAGGTTTTTTGCCCCACCAACTTGGAAAAGTGTCCATAGCAGTCTGGTGTACCTACCTACCTACCTACCTACAGAAGAAACAAAAATATTGTCATTTAAAATTATAAATTGCCATGCTATTCAAAGTTTCTATGTAATAAGGAAGGATACCTAGTGACGGACAGGTGGATCATGATATTGAGGTTCAATGGGTAGAATTGGAGCAGAAGTTTCATTTAATGGGTGCAAAATAACCCAGTAGTTGACTTCAACAAACGCCCCGTAACCCAAATCACCACCTTTCACCTAAAAGTTGTCAATTTAATTTTGGCCATATTCCAGCTAAGTCATCAGGCCATCTACCCCATGTAAAGCCCCCGTCTGTCTCTTATGTGAGTTATGCGGAGCTCTTCTGAATTGAACCCTGAACATAATGAACCTAGCTAGGTTACATGCCACACTGACTTCAACAAACACCATATTGATATGAAAGTGTTGAAAATGTGCTATAAATTTGACAACTTCATTAGGTATGCTTTATGAAGACAGCAGGAAAGCAGGTAGGTACCTACTTACCTGCCTAGATGTGCCACTGGCTACCAACAGTACCAACGAAGGTAGATAGGTTATATGTGAAGAATTCAAAACATTTTATTGCAATACATTTTGAAACTGTTTGTGTTAGGACTGGGGGATAGGGATGAGCATTAAAAATATATTTAAAAGGAAATGGAAAGGACAGGGACTCTGGAACCACAGGATAAGTTAAGGACAAAGGAAGAAGAACAAGGAAAATTAAATGCCGTTGGTTGTTGTTGTTGTTGTTGAAGAGTTAGGGCGCGCAGAAATGCCGTTGGTGCGACTGCGAAAAAACAAAGAAAACGTTTTGCCAAGAAGTATGCTAAGCTTTTATAAATCCTTATTCTACGTCTTTTGATTTTTTGGTAAGATGACGTCATTGATTATCATGTAGTATGGTAGATCATCATAAAATAAATCGGTTGTACAACACCAATTTCGTTTTCATTATTATTTCATTTGAAATAAAACCACTTAATAATATTCGGTAAAATATTTTAAGGAAAATGAAATATGTTAAATATGTTATGCCTAGGCTCTCAGGAGAAAAGGATCAACAAACGTTCTGCTGCAAATTAAACAATGCAGCAAATTAGCTATTAATGTAAACGTAATTAGCGAGTCGAAAACGGCGCTTTTGTTTCAGTTATTTTTGTAGGGATTTCAGATATTTATAGAGTTCAGTGGGTTGTTTCTGAGGAGATGTGGAGATGTGAATTAGTAATTAATCATACTTTATTAGTATATAGGGCCTTGCACTTTATCATCTGTAATTAAAAAAAAAAGTTTCCTGCTGAGTGCAGAAAGGTAGGTAGGTGCATCGCCAGGTTCTATCACAGGATAAGAGCAGTTATTGCAGTTGAAAGTCAAAGTTGGCTGTTCATGTTTAGGCCCTGTTCTTTATTTGGCCATCTACCCCATATTGCAGTTGTGATGACGAGCAGTTTTCAGTGTAGTTTTGTGATCTTTGATGTCATCAATTGGTGTCATTATTTTCGTCAACTAAAACTTATTTCAACTTTCCATTCAATCGACTCAATCATACGAGTCACTCTAATTTTCGGGAATCAAATCAGTCAACCAGTCGCTAAAGTCAAACGAGTCAGTCAACCAGTCATCTCGAAAAGTCAATCGACTCAATCCAATCAACTCAAAATACGCGTTGAATCAAATCAATCAATTCAATCGACTTGATTGGTATACAACCCTGTTTGGGAATCAGACCCTGTCGCCATGCCACGCGGTTGTGGTACCTAGAAACAAAAACAGGTCGGTGTCGGCGTCAGTACCCGGGCTGTCATTCTGACCCGGCATGTCCTGTCGGCTGTCAGACTGTACTCCGCTCCGCCATCCCACGCAGCGTCAGTCTTTGTCGGGCAGCTGCCGACATAACCTCGTTACATTCAGTAGGCCTTGATCTTATCGCTATGTCATGGGTGAGTCCCCAGGCGCCGAGCACGTGCGAGAACGCCTGGCGCAGGCTGGCAGCGACCCAGCCAGATTAGCGACTTTGTAGGTCACTAGAGGGGGCTGGGGCGGGCGACGAATAAATCTCATAGTGAACGAAGTGACAATTACATGTCACTTCGAAACCAATAAAAAATGACTTGAATGTGTCGAACGATTTGAGTTTGTCGTGAGTCAGTCCAGCAGTAGTGACTCATCCTTATCTCGGTTATATACATTGCCGCTGATAAGCTGCAGTGTTGATATGATCGTATTGATACAGCCGCGGTTACTGTACCCAACTTACAGTTATCTCTCCCTTTCGTGTCAGCTTCTAACCGAGGTTGCAGAAGCTGTTCGTTGTAATGTGAGGCTGCATCGTGAGCTGCTGACCAGGCGCTCTCCTAATGACAATTATCTGTGCAGTAAAGTGGTTTTACGAGGGCCTGGGGCCCATAAGTCTTGCTAAGAGAACGCCAGTCGCCAAACACTGTGTGGGTCTGTTGAGCACGTGTGGTCACGTGCCGCTAAATTTATTCGGCAGCGACAGTCATAAATATCGCGACTGTTCAGCCACCGCCTGAGGGGCTCCGCGCGGACCACCTTTAGCGCCAGGATAAAATGCATCGAATTCGGTATGCATTTTATCCCCAGTTCAGGTGACTGATGGGTTCGATGATCGCATCTCGGTACACAATGACAGCAGCACGCGCACACACGAGCAGTCACACACACCGGCGTCCTCCCGCCCCGTCCCGGCCGGCCCGGGCGTGCTGGCGCACCTCTCCCGTCCCTGCTAGTGCCGGCGGGGCCGGGCCACTGCAGCCCCTTCCGCCCGAGGGGAGTCGGTGCACCGCCGCGCCCGGCCGGCACTCCGTCCGCCACCGTAACAGACTCTAAAAACGCGGCTCACTCGGGCCGTCCTAGTTCTTGGCGACAAAGTCCTCGCCCTTCTTGATGGAGGCGAGCAGCTCAGGCAGCGCTCCCTTCACCAGCTCCTTCTCGAAGTCGGTCAGGGTGCCCAGACCCAGGTTCTTCTCAACGCCATTTTTCTGAAAGAGAAAGAAAGCGACCATCGGTTACGTATTTATTCAAAACAAGCGCTGGTTGAGGATTCGTATCACGAAAAAACTGACCGGAAACCAAGCGAAACAACTATAATCTTTTTGTCATCACCCGACCCATGGGCGTAGGAACCTCACGAAAAGTGTGTGGGGGGGGGGGGGGGGGGGGAGGGGGGCAGCGAAACTTCAATGTCACTTTGTGGGAGCTCCAATACCCCTAGAAAGAATTTCTTTGCAGTTTTGTGCCCATCTCACCTTGCTGAACCAGTTCCTGCTCTTGGTTTTGTATATCATACAAAAAAAAAATATGCAGGAACAAAGTAACCGTAGATGACAGACAGCGCTCATTCTTTGAGCGCGTAAGTCATGAGTCGCCCCGTGCCCGTCACTTACCCCGAGCAGGATGGGCGTGGAGAAGTAGGGACTCTCGGTGACGTCTGAGCGCACGTACGAGCACTCGACGATGCCCTCCTCGCCGTCGAGCGCGCGCAGCAGCGACACTGCAAACCGGGCGCCGGCGTAGGCCATGGAGAGGGTGGCGGAGCCGGCGCCGGCCTTGGCCTTCACCACCTCGGTACCGGCGTCCTGCGGGGAGCGGTCAGACGGCGTCAGAGCGGAGGCTTTAGGACTGCCGTCGAATAGGTACAGCGACACTGACATCGGATCCTCGAGGTATTGGAGCTAGCGTTGGCGGCAGAACACGGCGACGATGCTTCCAACATGGAAGGATCTTCGAATAGAAAATTATAGTAAATATCCATTCAAATAAAATAAATGTTTGGGATATTACCTACGAACTGTGGACCTTTGGTCACTAGCATAGGAGCATAGCGTCAATGTTATTATTATCATCCATATCATAAAATATACGCCAGATAAAGTTTTAGCCCTAACTCAAACTAAGACTGAAAACAAAAACATTTCGCGAATGACAAAAAAAAAATGTGGAAAGCATATCACGATGACAAATGTTGCGCCTTTACCATCGAATCTTAGACCAAACAGCCTCTGAGCTCCTGCGGTTGTCGCCGGATCCATACCTGGATGCGCTCGGTGAGGGCCTTGAGCCGGTCGGCGGGCAGCGACACGGACGGGGTGCACTGTGACACCAGCGGAATGATGGTGACGCCGGCGTGGCCGCCGATCACCGGGCAGTTGACCTCGCGCGGGTCAACACCCTGCCCGAGAGCGGTAGATGGTTAGTGGACGGGGGACCAAGGAGGACCGGGGATTTGAGCAATGCAGAGCAAAGGGTTAAATGAATAGTCACCTTGTATTAATACGCACAGCAAGGCTGTTTGAACTGTCAGATAAATAAAAAAATAAATTATTAAATAACAATTTGAAAGGTCCAGCAAAAATCCTCATGACGAACCAAGTCGAGGACGAGGTGCTGCAATGAATTCCGCTTAGGTCCACACGACCACACCTCATTTCACATTTACATTTGCACGGTCCTACATAGATTCACCTACATTCTCTTACCAGCTGTTCCCATGACGACCAATGTGTCCCCTCCCACTCCCCGGAGATTGGCTTCCTTCCAAGTATGTGGCCTTTGGCGAACGACCCGGACTCCATTCAGAAAAAAACGGCCACCAATCACATGACACCCATGACAAGCAGCCACCCCTCCCCTCCCCTCCCCTGCCCCAGCCGCCGTCGTTCAGCAGTCCGTATCAGTGGCCCGAGACCGATAACGCCGCCTCCCCTCCTGTGGAGAGCGGCCACGCCCTTACCAGGATCTCGCCGATGAAGGCGTTGGCGCGCACAATGTCCAGCGTGGTCACGCCGAAGATGCGCTTGGGGTCGTACACGCCGGCCTTCTTGTAGACCTCGGTGGCGATGGGCACGGTGCTGTTCACCTGGGGGTCAGAGGTCGCCGATTCCGGTCAATGGTCACCATCCATGCCAGAGGTCATCGATAAGAAAAAAAAACGGCCGAGATAAGAACAAGGAAAAAGTCTGGAACCGACTATAAGCAGAATGCGACATATTTCAAAATCACTCACACCAATGGACGCACTTCCTAGGCTTTCTCCAATTTCTCGGCCCGCCCAACACAGCCAAGTCAGTGTTACAAGCTACAGCCTCGTACGTTTCAGCTCCACCCATCGCTGCCAACAGTGCTGTCTCCACACCGACAGAGCCCTCAGACAGTCCAGCCGGCCCCGGCGACGCCACCTACCGGGTTCGAGATGATGGCCACGAACGCCTTGGGGCAGACCTCGGCGGCCGCCTTGCACAGGTCGCGCACGATCGAGGCGTTCGTGTTGAAGAGGTCGTCGCGGGTCATGCCGGGCTTGCGGGGCACGCCGGCGGGGATGACAACCACCTCGCAGCCCTCCAGGGACGCCTGCGATGGAGGAGGGGGTGGAATATTACTCAGCGGGTCAGACAACATTAAATGGCACTTCAGGAGCACTTCCGACACTGTCGATGGTTGACTTTGAGACTATGAATCATTAACATTACTGAGTTACTCGAATATATTATTGTTGGCCCTATTATATAATATCTACGCTGACAAAATACTCATGGACCATAAGCTGTTGTTTGAGCTCATTCTGCTCATCCCAATGAGCCCAGTGCCCAAAATCCAATTACTGTGCGATTACCTTGAGCTGGTCGGGTCCGACGAAGCCGGTGACCTTGGCCGGCGACTCGATGTGGCTCAGGTCGGCCGCCACTCCGGGCGTGTGCACGATGTCGTAGAGGGACAGCTGGCTGACCTGCGGCGCCTGTTTCATGAGCAGCGACAGCGGCTGGCCGATGCCGCCGCTGGCGCCCATCACCGCCACCTTGTGCTGATTCTGTAATTACAACATCATGTCAATGTGTGGAGGGAGAGACGGAGATAGAGGGGGAGGGAGAGAAGGAGACAGAGAGGGAGAGAAATAGATATACAGCGTGTCCCACAAATAATGTCACACCTCTTCAGCGTCCATTGCATGAACATAACGAACATGAGAATTGCGCTTTAGTTGCATAGGTATGTATTCCTCTCCTATCTGGAACAGGCAAGCATACGATCTGGCATGCCAGACATCAAGTTGTCCAGCTCCTGCAAACTGATCTTGGACAAAGCGGCTCGGACATTCCTGGTCAGCGTGCCTTCGGGCGTTGCTGTTTGTTCACCTCTTCCTGGACGATTACCCGCCCATTTTCTATCGTCGGCGACAAGTCAGCGCTATTTCCCGGCCATTCGTCCTTCTCGCCGAATGCCGGGAAGTGCGATCGACACTACTCCTGTCATTCCAGTTTGATGGGCCAGGGCGCCATCCTGTTGAAAGATGGCACTAGACATGTTCAGCAGAAGTTTTTGGCTGGAGGCGTCGCTTCATAGGCTTAAGCTTTAGAGACATCCTCAGGTACCGATGGATTGTCGACTTGGTGACTGGATGATCATTGGCAGTCAGCCTCCTTGCCAGTTTATATGTCGATTGGCCTCTCTTTGGCACCGACATCGCGTCAATAACGATTTTCGCTGCGTAGCTGACGGAACTCTTCCCACTGCGACCCAGCTTGTTCTTAAGCGTCTGCCCGCCTCTGTCCGCCTCTGTTGCGTCGTATGTTCGCCTCTGTCGCGTGACGACCAGCGTCAAATCGTGCAGATACTCATGCCCATCGCATCGGCGATCTGGCCGTGTGTCATGTCGCCGGTGCCCAGTACCCATGCTGGCAGCACTACTGCGGGTCGATAAGCGCTGCTGCTTTGCCATCCTAGACACCTGGTGCAGTGTGCGCGTCGGGTACAGCCCTAGAAATGACCTCTGTTCACCTCCTGACCAGTCAGGGTCACAGCATTTGAGCATCACACGACTAGAAGAAAAACAATGGTTTGAGAGCCAGTACTGGTGAAATAATCAATATTGTGGAAAGGTGTGACATTAATTTCGGGACACCCTGTATAGAAAGATAGATAGAGAGATACAGAAATGGAGCCATGAAAAGCAGAGAGAGAGAGAGAGAGAGAGAGAGAGAGAGAGAGAGAGAGAGAGACAGAGAGAGACAGAGAGAGACAGAGAGAGACAGAGAGAGACAGAGAGAGACAGAGAGAGACAGAGAGAGACAGAGAGAGACAGAGAGAGACAGAGAGAGACAGAGAGAGACAGAGAGAGACAGAGAGAGACAGAGAGAGACAGAGAGAGACAGAGAGAGACAGAGAGAGACAGAGAGAGACAGAGAGAGACAGAGAGAGACAGAGAGAGACAGAGAGACAGAGAGACAGAGAGACAGAGAGAGAGAGAGAGAGAGAGAGAGAGAGAGAGAGAGAGAGAGAGAGAGAGAGAGAGAGAGAGAGAGAGAGAGAGAGAGAGAGAGAGAGAGAGAGAGAGAGAGAGAGAGAGAGAGAGAGAGAGAGAGAGAGAGAGAGAGAGAGAGAGAGAGAGAGAGAGAGAGAGAGAGAGAGAGAGAGAGAGAGAGAGAGAGAGAGAGAGAGAGAGAGAGAGAGAGAGAGAGAGAGAGACATAAATCCTTAAGTCTTTTGTCCCTTTATATCTCTTGCCTTTCTTATGTCAATTTTTACCATCTCACTCTGCTCCGTTTCTCTTCCCTTAGCTTTATGCTCTCTGTCATCCAGGCTGAAAAACATGGCAGGTTTTGACGAGATCTCGTCGGGGCAGCTCTCACAATCGGGGCAGAAATTGGGGCAGGAATGAGAAATCTCGAGGCAGAGATAAGAAAAAGATGGGAGCTGGGCTGCCCTGGGACAATTATCCCATTTGGGAACAAGAATTGGGCTGCAACGGGGCTCTCAGCACCCTGATTCAGGGCAGAATTTTGTCTGCCCCGAAAATCTCGTCAAGCTCCCTGCCACCTTTTGCAGACTGGTCTGTCATTCTTTCCAGTTTCCACCTCATTCTCTTGTATCTGTCCTGCCCCCAACCACTTTCTTCACTTTAACTGGCTTATTTCTCTAAGTTATGATCAATATTCTAATATATTTCAATATCTGAAACAGGTACCTACTCTGACCCTCTGTGCACTGACCACCAACATTGACATTGACATGCCTGGTTTTCTACTCGACTCTGGTGGAATATGATAAAATATGAACAACTGTTTAAAAGATAAGTGGGGGAGCATGCACCATATCTAACTACCTTCCAAACTCACCAATAAATCTCATGGAATCCGAATACCAATAAAAAAGGAAACTGAAATGCAAACCATGGTTGCAACAAGGCACCCAGCACGTTACCTGACTGGAAACAGAGAAGCTCCTAGCCGCTGACTTCAGGGAGCTGACATTTTGCGGGCGAACAAATCTAGAGAACATTTTGAAGGTTTTAGTAAGCCTTTACCACAAAAATAATAATTTATTCAGCACAAGAGCGGACGCCCGACTCCCCCGTCCTTTCGTTCCGAGGTGAAGAGGTCGCAGCAGCTGATTGGCATCTGCTCATGCGCATGAAAAGGAAGAAAATTTTATAGTACGAAGAAAATCATTGAAGATATTTGGCACATCAGAAAGTTGCAATTCGATTCCTTAGCTAAAAACTCAAATATACAATGAACTTGTCAAATTAAAAAAGCCAAACTGTATTAAAAAATGTTGTGTTTTTCATAGAAATGCTGTTATAATAGGTCCTGACATTCGAGAGTCATAAACAACGCGACAGAGACGTATTTCTGCGAGACAAAATAAGCGCAGCTTGCCTTTATTCGTGTTCAAGCTGTGTTTTCAGGTCTTCATTGATGTTTGCTAGAGATACGCATTTTTCAATAAGATTTGGATATTGAATTTCATTTTTACAATTTGAAGTTCAAATTTAGTGTACTGTTTCAATTTTTCTAATCGTTTATGCTTTCCACTGCGGTTGAATCGTGAAACAAAAATGTTGATAATTTGCTTTTCTTGCATACTTCTTTTAAAAGTCTAGCTATTGAACAGGATTCAAAGTGTATATGGGTTGCAACTTGCAAGCTGGCAGTTTCGCGCCATCGCTGGTAGCGTCGTGTGGTCTTTTTGCGATTAGATAGTTTTTCCTTTGCATTTTGCATTTTGCATTTTGCGCTTGCCTTTTATCGCTCCTGCGATAAAAAGAGGGCTGCCCGCGCGTTTGTGAGCGTTCCAGGACTGGCCCCGTATTTAAAAAGCACTGATCTTTCCCTCGGCGTTTCGGCTTCTAGAAAATTCTTTTCGGCTAGCAACGGTAAGATAACGCTCACGTTTGGAAAAAGAGCGTTTTTCATATTTCTCACTTCTGGACCTTCAAGGCATTTTCCCTAACTTTTCCACTGCATCTGAGTTTTCAACTCCATCTCGGACTCAGGTTTAGGATAACAGCCTGTTTGTGGCTGTTCCAGTTCCTTGCCTCGTGGTTTTTGGCACCATTTTCTTGGTCAGTTAATTTATCATCTCTTGCTCTTGCTCTTCTTACTCCTGCTCTTAGGTTCAGTCTGCTGGTCAATTTTTCAAACTGGTTCATCTTTGTCCTTCCTCTTCGGCCTTCGCTCCATTGATTTTGTACTTGTGCTCACTGCTCTGTTCCACATCTCATCTCGTATCTCACACCATCACATTGCTCCATCTCCTGGCTTAAACCCCATAGTGAGGAAACATGCCACCAAAAACAGGCAATCCTAACAGATCTGCTGGAAGTACAGCTTCAGCTAGTCAGACCACTGTGCCAGAGGGTTCAGCATTTCTGCTGGTGCGGTATGAAGATAAAACCCTCAGCTTCAAAAGCACCAGCCCCTACAAAATCAGGGACTCTCTAAAACTCATCCTGTCTAAACGGCCGGAGAAGGTTACCCCAACCCGCAGTGGTGCACTCTTGATCCAAACAAGGGACCGCACCCAGACAGAGACACTTCTGAATTGGTCTTCCATTGAGGGAAAGAAAATCCAGGTCATCCTAGCTGATAAGCTAAACCACCGGGAGGGGCTAGTGTATGCACCTGAGCTTGTGGAGGAGTCAGTTCAGGCTATCCTGGATGAAAGCGTCATGCAAGGGGTGACCATGGTTACACGACTACCATCAAAAACCCACCGTCCGAGTCCCCTGCTGAAAATCAGGTTCGCTGCCATGCTCCTCCCCTCCCACTTCTACGCTGCCTTCCTACGTTACGAGGTACGACCTTGTATCCCCCTACCACGCAGATGTGGGCAGTGCCTGAGGTATGGACATGGCAAAAACACCTGTCGGAGCCGCACTCGATGCGCACGCTGCTCTGAGGACCACTCGTCCGAAGGATGCACCGCCCCGCCCCGCTGTGCAGCATGTCAGGGACCACACCCTGTGACGGATAAAAAATGTCCTGTCTGGATGGAATTGGCTGCCGCCCTCCGTGCTGAGACTCACAATCCCACCACCAGGAGTCCGGACGTGTGGCCGAGCCTCCCGACCCCTCGAGCCCCTACAGGCAAGGATCGGCCATCCACGGTCACCACTGGCACCCAAACGGATCCGGCCCAGCCAAGCGCGAACCAAGCGTCCCCTCCTCATGCCCCCCTGCCGGCCCCAGAGGAGACTCGTCCTCCCGCAGTGTCCGCCGGAGTCCAGCACTCGCACGCACCGCCCACCGTGCAGCTGCGCCCACCCGGTAGGGCCATCGAAGAGAATCACTCACTCCCATTACCCACCGAGGAGCCAAGCTCTCCTCCGTCAACCACCGAGGGACAGAGTCCGCCAACACCGCGCGAGGAAGGACACTTCTCCACCTCGATCATCAGAGAGCAGCGCACAGCGATGCTTCCGAACGCAGCCGCGTCCCCCGCCAAACAACAGCCATCGAACACTGAAAACGCCCGAACGGAGACGTATAGCGAGAACGACACTGGGGACGAGTCGCTGACGCAGTTCAGCCCTGAAAGAAACAAAGCGGAGGCCCCCACTGTGCCCGTACAAGCGACCCCGTTCCCCGCCTCTCACCACACCCAGGCCCCGAAAGCGTCACAAGGCCCACTTTTTGGCTCCGATGACGACACTTTCGACTCCGCCAACACTAGTAGTGACAACGAGGAAACCCCGAAGCTACTCGCCATGACCCCAATGTCACGACTACCGTCAGCCACCTCTGACAGTGAATCTGACACTTCCACCCTTCCCGATCCGCGACCGAACACCCGCCTCCGAGCTCGGTCATCAAGGGAGCGGAAAAACATGGGCATCCGATCTCAACCCGTGACCAAGCGGGCTTTCGTTCCAGAAGAAAGCGCGTAGAAGGCTAAAGAGGAAGAAAGTTAGCTATGGCTAGGGACATGCTACTCCAGTGGAACGTAGGAGGGCTGCTAACGCACCTATCTGAATTTAAACAATATTTGCGGAAAGAATCCCCTCTCGTAGCAGCCATTCAAGAAACGCACTTTCGGGATTCTGATAACTACAATTATAATGTTTCTGGCTACACCCTTTATAGACACGACATAAATCATACTAATCGACAAGGAGGTGTGGCCCTATACATAGCTAACGCAGTTCCACAACGGCAAACAAACTTGACTACACCACTCAACATCGTTGCGGCTACTGTGTCACTTTTCAATCGCGACATCCTAATTGCTTCTCTCTACCTACCACCTAACTCTCCTCTAATCACACGACATGCTATGGACCAATTGCTAGCTCAAATGCCTGATAATTGTCTACTTCTTGGTGACTTTAACGCCCACAACCCTTTGTGGGGCAGCCGGCTTTTGTCGGCGCGCGGAAGGATAGTGGAGGCTGAGCTTAACCGGCGATCACTGGTGTGCCTGAACAGTGGCAGGCCCACATACCTTAGCCATAGTTACCACACAACATCAATGATTGATCTTTCTATCGCTTCTCCCCGCGTAGCACCACTCTTCAATTGGAATGTAACTTCAGATCCTCTCTTTTCCGATCATTTTCCTATCCACATAAGTCTTACGATTAGCAATACTTTACCTCGCGCGCCGACTTTGAAAATGTGGCAAACAAATAACGCTAATTGGGACGCATTTAACACGAGTATAAGCCACAATACGTCTAATAGCATTCATCAAACTGTAGATAGCTTTATGAACGCAGTAGTACTTTCAGCCAAAGAGACTTTGCGAGAAAAGAATGTAACAACCGGTTCTTCAAATAGGCCAAAAAATGTAATATGGTGGAATTGGAAATGCCAGCGAGCGAAAGCTATTAGAAAAAGAGCATTCCGAAACTTTCAAAAATGTATTTGCGATAGACATGCGGAACTATACACAGCTGCACGAAAGGAATGTTCTAAAGTAATCTACGCAGAAAAAAAGGCAGCGTGGGAAGAGTATGCATCCAAGTGTAACAGATTCACACCACTGGCCGAACTTTGGGGAAATGTGCGCTCTTTCGCTTCTCGAAAAACCCATCTCAGAGTCTTTCCACAGCTGCTCTCCAACGGTGTCTTCGTAACTGATCCACTCGCTGTTACCAACCTATTCGCAAAACATTTCGCCGACGTATCTTCCTCGAATATCTACTCTCCTAATGTTCACCGGTCTCTAACAGCAAAAACAGCGCGACTTGACTTTTCCTCTACAAACTCCGAATCCTATAACGCTCCTTTCACCCTCTATGAACTTAAACTATCCCTAGCAAAGACGAGAACTAAAACATCAGTTGGCCCAGATGGTGTTCCCTATTCCTTTTTTACCAATCTTAACGAATTAAACCTCTCTACACTCTTGACTACTTTCAATGATATGTGGCTAAGCGACTCCTTTCCGGATGGCTGGCTTAGCAGTACAATTATTCCCATCCTCAAACCCGGTAAGGATAGTAGCCTAGCAGGTTCCTATCGTCCCATCGCCCTTACCAATTGTATTTGCAAAGTGTTTGAGAGAATGGTGAATACACGTCTCCGATTCTTCCTTGAGAGCAAGTGCATCATCGACAGCTGTCAAAGTGGTTTTCGCAGAGACCGAAGCACGGCGGATAACGTGCTGCGTCTTATTACTGACGTCCAAACAAATTGGGAGCGTCGTCTGCCGACCGTCGCGGTGTTCCTGGACCTCGTGGCGGCTTTCGACAAGGTACATACTTCCACCATTATTTACAAACTACACTCCCTCGGAATTAAAGGCCACCTGGCAGCTTTTCTACGCAACTTTCTCATGCCCAGAACTTTTCGAGTTCGATGTCAAACGACATATTCGGACAGCTTCCCGATGGAACACGGCGTACCCCAAGGTAGTGTGTTGTCGCCAACGCTTTTTCTGATCGCTCTAAACGATATCCTCCTGACGCTCCCGCGCGTACTGACTTTTTCAGTACGATATTCTTTGTTTGCTGATGATATTGCTCTATGGGTCACACACAAAAATTACAAGAGGGCGTACTTCATCCTCCAAGCAGCTATCGACCACTGCGTCAACTGGTGCATGGAATGGGGGTTCTTCCTATCTGCTCCCAAATCTGCCATGATCGTTTTCAAACGTGGACCACCCCCGTCCCTGAATGACTCGCCTCGAATTGAGGGAACAGCTATTCCGTTTCATGAGTCTCATAAATTTCTAGGAATCATACTAGACTCAAAACTGACCTTCAGGCTTCACGTTGATCACATAAGAACACGTTGCATCAAAAGACTTAACGTTCTAAGATGTATCAGTGGCTTTTCCTGGGGTGCTGACAGAAAAACTCTATCGATGTTGTATATTGGCCTCATTAGATCAACTATTGAATACAACTGCTATCTATTTAACACAATCTCGCCCACATTGTGCAAAAGGCTGGAAGCCGTTCAGTCTACGTGCCTGAGGCTGATAACCGGGGCTTTTCGTACCACCCCCGTCCTCGCCCTACGAGCAGAATCCGCCCTACCTGCACTTAAAGACCGACGCCTCTACTTACTAATGCGTTACTACTATCGTGCGAAAAGCGTTCAAAACCACTTATCTATACCCGCAATAGAGCGAAGAAAGCCTCGAACGCGGCGACCGCTACGAGGATCCTGCTTTCTCCCTGATTCTCTTGAGGAAGCGCACACATCTTTCAACATGTGCCGGTTTGACGTTGCTCGCAAACCCCCTCCTACGCCCTTCTGGACCCGTAGAAACCCAACAATAGAATTTCTTTTCGACGACTGCAAAGAGTATATATCACCATTAGAGAGTGTTATGCTTCTTCGAAGCTACATGGAACAAAACGACGATTCAGCCTTTTTCTACACCGATGGCTCGTGCACAGAGAATAAGGCTGGTTCTGCAGCCGTGGGACAAGGATTCGAATTCAAAGCTCGCCTCCCTGATTACAGCACCATCTTTACTGCAGAGGTATATGCGATAAGAAAAGTCCTCGCATACATCAAAGCGGAAAATATCGAACGTGCTACGATATGCACTGACTCTAAATCGACACTTCAGGCCCTCAAACGGAAAGAAAACGTTACCCATCACGGCATCCATAATATCCACGAAATACTTCTGGAACTGACGGCAGCACAGCATGTTACTTTCCTATGGATACCCAGCCATCACGGCATTGCTGGTAATGAACGAGCGGACGCCCTTGCGAAGGAAGCTACACTGCTCCCTGAGTCGGTAGTAGAACCTATGGCGCATGGAGACGTACTGCACATAGTCAAAATTAAGTTTGCGGAGTATTTGCAACGAAAATGGAATCAAACTCACGCGCCACATATCTACGCGATCAAACCAAGGCTCGGAATTTGGCACACTTGCAATCAGCCGAACAGGATAAGAGAAGTTATCCTAACTAGGCTGAGATGCGGTCACACCCGCCTCACCCACAGTCACCTTTTTGACAGAGCAGGCCCGCCTGTATGTCAAAATTGTAACATACGGCTGACCGTCGAACATCTACTAATCGGATGCCAATCATTCCGAAACGAACGCCGGCACATCACAAGGTACCTCGCTTTACATCGTCTAAATTTTGACATGCCGACCATTCTTGGTGATAACCCCACACTAACAGACTTGGTACTCGACTTCATAATAAACTCTAAACTAGTAGAAGAACTCTAGCGCGATGACGACTTAAAGGCTTTTGCAGACCCGCACCTCCCCCTGAGCCTGGAACAGCGGCCGGACTCAGAGACGAGAGTATGTCGTTGATACTGTGCCCGAAAACTCCAAAAGATCCTTGACCCCAGGCCCTGAGCTCAACGATCGGGAGCGATGTGGCCGGGTCGGGGATCGCAAACAGACACGTCACAGTTGCCTGAAAAGGCGACCGGAGTCCACCTCGCCCCACACACACGCCTTCGAGCTGCGAAGCGGCGCTGCAACGTTCCTGGCCTCCTCAGCTGCTTTAGCATCTCTAACTTCGGGATGAGGACAACCAGCAGGTAAACCCTAACGTAAATAATAGGGTTTTCCCCACGCACATGTAATCCGAAGCATCCCCCCCCCCCAATCAGCAGAGTTATTTTGCAATTGGCCCCTCTTTACCTTTTGAAAAGTTACATATGCGTGGGTTTCCCTATTTTGCTATTAATAAAGTGGCCACCGGTCTCACTTCATGAGCCGGGTATAGGGGTCACCTCCTCGCGAGGCGAAAAACGAAAGTTGAGGCCACTAAAAAAAAAAAAAAAAAAAAAAAAAAGCAAGCTGGCCAGTGTAAGTTTCACTGTCATTTATTTTTATATTATTTATTCATCTCATTTCTTTCATTTATTCATTTATAGTCATTTATTTTATTTATTTTTAGAACAGCAAGACGAATAAGAAGAATCGACGCTAATAGTTAAGTCTGACTGATGCGTCGTTAAATAACCAAGAAAACAAACAAACAAACTCATTTACCTATGTGTCTTAACGTAAATTTATGGCATAGTACATGGATATGGGTTTTCCCATCTTGTCTTGCTGTAAAAGTGGCCACCGGTCTTAGTTAGGACGGCCGGTCTTTTTGTGCGGCGTAGTTAGGTTGCCGCCCTCCTCGCGAGGCCGGTAACGTAAGTTAGGGCCACTAAAAAAGGGCTTTGACCACTAAAAAAGTAAATATATAGGTTTTAAGTTTATATCAATATTGGGTAGGTAGGGCCTTGGGTTTTTAGGGCCGCACTATAGATGATTTTTGTCTTGAGTTGGGTCGGTCCGTCTGCACGCGATCAAAGATCCCGACGATAACAGACCATTGACCACTTGCTGTGCTGCCATTTATAGGAATGGCAAAAAACTTTGAATTGGCAGTCTAGTGATATTAGAGCTCAATGGGCATCATTGATGCACTTCATCGCGAGTATGTCTCATTGGGTATTATTTCGAGCTTTTCATATTTTTACCCACTTGTCTATTTCTTCACAAGTGAAAATTGCCAGTACCTCACAGGTCTCATAATTGTATCAGATACTAAACCACATATTCAGGAAGAACAAACTAATGTAGACAAATTGTCAAAACAGTAACTTATCTCCAAAAAGTACAATAACTTCAAGAAATGGTATGAAGAATGAGAAACCACTTATCCGTGATATAGATTGCCATGATCTTGGAGCAAATGGTACGGTACCTATGTTGATGTGTCTACTGTGATAATCAAACACTATTTCTCTTTCAGGTCTGATTAGCTAAGAGCACAAACTTAAGCACCACCCTTTATTCTCCTGCTTGCAATGGGTAAGAATGGGAATGCCTACTGACTGTACCTAGTTATGTTTTTAATTTTGTTGCTATTGCTATATCTTTGATCATGTGTATATTTGTGTGTTTGGGTAAATATATGTAATGCACAGTAATGTCTTGTCATTTTAAATCTGGGCTATGTGCAGTATGCACTATGCATGCATCTGTATCTGTTATTTCCTCTTGTCTTCTGTCTCCTGTCTCATGCCCTGTTCTCTGATTTACTTATTTCTCCTGTTTCCTATCTCTAGCCTTATTCTGTCCTCCTTTCCATGTCTCTCTCCCTCTTTGCCTCTCTCTCTCTCTCTCTCTCTCTCTCTCTCTCTCTCTCTCTCTCTCTCTCTCTCTCTCTCTCTCTCTCTCTCCTCTCTCTCCTCTCTCTTTCCCTCTCTCTCTGTACTCTCTCTTTCCCTCTCCCTCCCCCTCTCTCTTTCCCTTTCCCTCCCCTTTCCTTTCCCTCTCCCTATTCCTCTTCCTCTTCCATTTCCTCTCTCCCTTTTTCTCCTCTACCTTCTCTTTTCTTTTTTTCATGTGTAGATAATAATATTTACCATCTGTTTTCCATGTCCAATGTCCATTGTCAATGCTAGTTGCTGGAAAATGTACCTTGATGTTAATATTAAATTATCTTGATGTTTTTTCCCTATTCCAGATATCAGTTCTAGACATGTTGGATTCATTGGTGCTGGAAACATGGCCAAAGCCATTGGGAAGGGAATCATCCAAGCAGGTATGTGTGATTCTAATATCTTATTATAATTGTACACAAACCTGGAAAACATGAACAGTGAAGTGATAATCACATAGTTGAATATTGTCCCTGCATTCTTTTCATTGTTTTGTTTCAGTATTTGTCATTGGAGTACACTGTAACTCTTCTCTAATGTTTAATTTTCAGGGCTTAACCCTCGCCCATATTCGTGTATTGCCGGACGCTGACGTACGGGGAAGGTGGTCTGTTGGACCCCTCCCCCCCCCCCCCGATGATCGGCCCCTAATTGAGTTAGAAGTTCACGGAAAAAAACGAGCGTGTTGCACGTAACGAGAGAAAGCCGACAATACCTAACTTTGAGGTCGTACATCATTGGTTGACCTTTCAGGTCAGGTCAATATCCCAAAGGCTCGGAAAATCGGGACCTGCTAGAAGATCTTAAAGAGTGTGCCTACTCCTAGTATTGACATGCCACTGAAACGGTCCCGTTTGCAGGTTTATTGGATGCCTCTCATGTGCATGCCAGTGCTCCCAGCCAGACGAACCTGAAGGACTGGGCCTCTTGGGGCGCCGTCACCACTACGGACAACTGTGAGGCATTGGGCTGACATCGGGTGGAGGGGGTGTTGTGGTGACTTGTAAATGAGATGCTGGTACCGTTCTTCTTTTTTTTAAGGAGACTGGTGATGTTTTGACAGCTTTGACTTTTGCAGTTTGTTGTTTATGAAGGATGTTTCGTCATATGCTGGACGATTTGTTCTCACGAGTCACGAGTCACGACCAATTTTGCGAATGTATTTTCATAAGCCTTACGTCTTCGTTGGACGTTGTTTGTCATTGTTTTGGGGTGCATGTCTCTCTAGATCTCTCGTTGTTTGTATTTGCTGTCTATGTGCACCGCGATGATTCCATTGATATGTTAAATTCACTGCACTGAACCCACTGAATGCTTGACTTGGTGCTGACGTGGATCTGCTTTGTCGCAGGCGAGATCCTGGAGCAGTGCGACGTCGTCTTCTTGGCCGTGAAGCCGCACTTGCTGGAGCGCTCGCTGGAGCAGCTGAGCGGCAGGATGTCGGCCGAGCAAAAGGACAACATCCGCACGGCCAAGAAGTTCTTTGTGTCGGTGATCGCCGGCCTGAAGCTGGACAGGGTGACTGAGGTCAGTGATACGACTGGACGTCTTTGGTATGATAGCGGCACTTAATTGTTTAAACAAAAGATACTAGCATTTTTGTGTATAAACGCGTTCCCTACTGGAGCGTTTCGGGGAATCTTATCCATCGTAGCTTTGCTGGTAGCTTTGCTGATCATCATCCCGTCAGTCTGTTTTTTATGTCCTTACTGATGTTTGTCCACCCCTCCTGATACTCTGACTCGAGTCACAATGTACTGACGTCAGTCTTGAATATGTTGTAGGTGCTGGAGAAGCAGCTGGACGTCAGCCCGGCCTACGTCATCCGCACCATGCCCAGCACTCCCTGTATGGTCGGAGAGGGGATCTGCGGTGAGTTCGACCCCACACGCCAGCTGTCGTGGTTCCTCCAGCTCTGGAGTAATAATAACTGGAGTGGAGTCTGATGAGTCCAAGGTGGCTACTGCTCTGGAACGTAGAGTATATGTCTGTGGTTTGTCTGAGCTCAGATTCTACCGTGGAAATATGTATTCAGTTGCAGAATCGTGCTGTGCGCGATCGGTCTTTCATACTCGTACATCTACTGACGTCCTCATCACCAAGTCGTCCCCGTACCTTTGTCAATGAGCTAGTGTACTCACTGCTGAGCTCATGCCTCCTTTGCTTCTGGTGACCTCTCGTCGCTTTGACGGATCTGCATAATCCGCACATTCGCTGCTTTATCACCTGCTTCCTGCTTCTGAATAATACAATCATTTGTGATAAGAGACCTTGTAAATCTGTTGAACCGCTATGAGCTACTCGATCTATGAATCTATGGTACGAAGCGTATTCACCCGCCTTGGCATCGCTAGACCATCCCCATGGCGTGGCCCCGTCTGTACCCTTAGGTTTCCATCGGTCTCGTCTGCCTGCTTTGTCTGACTCGTAATCCTCTCCGGGCAGCCTACTGCGTTCCATCCAACAAGCGCGAGCTTCCCGAGTACTCGGAGGTGGTGGAGCGCATCTACTCGGCGGTGGGACGGTGCAAAAAGATGGACGAGATGCACATTGACGCCGTCGGCGGCGCGTTCGGCAGCGGCACGGCTTTTGTGAGTACCGCTATACCCCGTCAGTCCCGCTGCATGAGGTGATATACATGTATTGTTATGAAGCAATCAGGTGCGGCGTACTCTTGTGTGTCTGTCAACTACCATCAGACTTGTATTATCTTAATAGTGTCACATTGCACTCAGCAACTGCAGCCCACACACTGCACCTTCTTCAATTTCAAAATCCGTAAAACACGCTAGTGGCAAAAGACTTGCATCTGTTTATTGAAAATGACATAGAAACAGCGTGCAAAGGGGACCAATAGGAGCAGCGAGGGAGTACAAACGATCATTGAGCGTCGTTGGCTCCGGCGAAAGTGACGACACTAAATGTCGAGTAGCTAGTGGGCCGCTCGAGCAAAGCACTGCCGGTGTCCGACCGTCAGAGCATGTCTTATCACCTAACGGCGATGAGACGCTCACGGCTGAGCTGCCGAAACAGTAACGGGGAAGCTGCCGATTCTCCTTGGGCCCCACTCTGAGATCTCGTACAATAGGATGGCTTTCTGGTAGTGATGGTTCTCCTTATGGATATTGTGGCTGGGGTCAGTGATGAGATACATGTGAATTGTAATGTGGAACGTGCAGTATGTGGGATAATTATGAAGTCGTGTATCTACCCTGGAGGTAATGTGCGAATGACAATTGTGCCGTGAACGTGTGCAATGTGCATATTGTGCTGCTGACGAAATGTCATATGAGTATTAATCATCAAGGAAGAGGCCACTCGACGTATTGGCTGAAGCGAACAACATTTAACATTATTGTGCATTTTCGGGCGGTATAAGTCAGCGTTGGTAACATTCACATAAGACGCGCCTGGTTTCAAGACTTATTAGCTAAAGCGAAGCAGTTACGGTACAAACGACAAACAGACGTCAGAGCCCATAAGATCGGGATAAATACTGGTCCATCACAGAGGCGCGGGTTAAGCTGTATCAAAACGTAGTGCATCGATCGTTCATAGTGAACCGTGCGTGCTGGTCTGCTGAGGCATTGGTAGTCGGGAAGGGATGGATTTACAGTGGCGTTCATTGGACCCACGGTACTGTGAACTGTGTTGGCAGGAGTTGCAGTTGAAATCGGTCGATGATTCTATATTCCCTGGTATTATAGTAACGTTGTTTGAGAAGATCGTTGCAGATTCTGAGCGCATTTCTTTGACAAAATGCGATCACTCTTATCCTTATGATCCCATTTGCGAGGTTGCGTGCTGTAATGCGGAAGCGAACAAACATTGACTGTGTTGTAACTTGGTAGCCGTCTGACGTTGGCTTTCCTAGGCTTTTCGTAAAAGCTATCTAACGTGTTGCGAACTTTAATGATCCACCAATATGTAATGGAGTGAAATTGTTGCTTTTCCAACATATGGTTTATGTGAAATGGAGGATAATTTATGCAAGTCAGTCAACTCTCGACCGTCAAAATAGCCTTGGCTACCAGCATTACATGGTCAATGAATGCTCAACTTTCCGCTTGCTTTTGGTCTTAAATGTTTACGGAAGATCTCTTTGGAATTTAAATTACGATGAACGTCCTAAAGGTGCCAGGTGGCTACCGTGTGTTAGGCAATATATAGCAACTCATTTTTATTCATTTAATGTCTACCGACCCCAGGCTGTGATCAGTAATCCCACCGTGTCAGCTTTGTACTTTGATCTCTCGAAGTCCACTACTGCTACGTATTGCTCTGGGAACACATATGCTGCTTGGCATGGGTGCTGAACATGGCCCTGACGTGTCCGTGGTCACATACGCGGCTCACCCAGCTGTGGCCGCCATCCCGTGTTGCCGGGAGTGGTGCGGGTGCGGCCCGCCGGTGCCGATTAGGTTCCGTCGTGGCTCTGTCGGGTCACGGCCGACTGCCTGCCGAGGAGGCGTCGGCGGCTGATGGTGCTCTGCAGGAGGTGGCAGGTCTCCCAGACCAGGTGGCCGGCGTGTACGGGGCTGTGCCGCGGGCTGGGGCTGCCCCCCGGACTGCGGGCCGGCCTCGGGTCGGCGCTGGGCGGCGCCAACCGCCGCTCGGCGTCCGCAGCGGGCTCCGCGGCCGGCGCACCGTCCGGGCCACAGAGCAGCACCCGCAGCAGGTCAGACAGCGACACCACGCCGCCCACCCGGCCGGCGTGGTCCACCACGATGAGCCGGTGCACCTGGGCGCGGCCGGCGCGCTCCAGCAGCGTGCCCAGCGTGTCCTCCAGGCGGCAGGTGACCACGGCGCCGGGCGGACCGGCCGCCGACAGCGGCTCCCGCAGCCGGCCGAACTCTCCGGCGGCCGCCTGGGACAGCAGGTCGGCCTTGGTACAGACGCGCACCAGCCGGCCGGCGGCGTCCACCACCGGGAGGGCGGAGATCCGGCGCCGCAGCAGCGCTCCGGCCGCTGCCAGTAGGGTGGTGTCGGGCCGCGCCAGCTCCAGGCCCTCGAACTTGCCGCACTGCAGCGTCCGCAGCGTCTGCTGCAGCAGCGCCGGCCGCGGCAGCTCGTGCTGGTGCAGACGGAGGAAGCGCAGCAGCCGCTGTCGGGTGACCAGGTGCAGGAGGTCGCCGGTGACGGGGTCCTCCACGGGTACGCGGTGTACGCGGTGACGCAGTAGGGCGGCCGCCGCCGTGCGCAGACTGTCTCCCGGCCGGACAGTGAGTAGCGGCCGGTGTGGCCGACCCACCCGCCACTCGCTCAGCCGCGGCGCCGCGGTGCCCGCCTGCGCGTGCTCCACCAGCATGGTGAGCAGATCGGTCATAGTGAGCATTCCGACCATCTGGTGGAGCTCACCGTTCCAGAGGGGCGCTGCACGCACCCCGTTCGCGCAGAGCACCTCGTACGCCTGGAACGCCGGCAGCTGAACGTCGCACACCACCAGCTTACTCGAGTGCGGCATCACGTCGTAGCAGCGATGGAAGTCGAAGAACTTGTCGAAGACGCGCCGCTGGTCGTTCTCGGAGATCGTGATGCTGGTCGGACCGCCGGGCTCGTCGCTTATTCGACTGAGGACGACGCGTCGCGGTGCCGCGCCCGACGCCGCGCGCGGCCATCCGTCGCCCTCGTGCAGCTGTAGCTCGGAGCTGGCCGCACGCAGACTAAGCCGCAAACAGTCGAGGGTCTCGGCGTACGCGCTGCGGCGCTGCTCGCCGCGCTCCTCCTGATCAGCGGAGGCGCTGCGGGCGCGCCGCTTGTTCCTCCGACCGCCGGCCGTCGCGGGGGTCGACGGCGGTTTGAGCAGCGCCGGGTCCGGGTCCGAGCTGAACCAGCCGGGCAGCCAGCGGTGCCGCGGACTGGGCGGAGGCTGGTAGCCCTGGTGGGCCACCCCGCCCTCCATGGCGGCTTCCCGCAGGCAGGTCACGCTCTCAGACCGATCTCGCTTTCGTCAATGAGTTCGGACTTACCCAGAAATATCGTTGTCTTTCAGCAGAGAAGATCGAATTGATCACTGCAGCTGTTCCGCCACTTCGCCACTAGTTGCTGTTTTGGCCCGCCGGCGGTCCGCTTCGTCGGTGTTCACTTCCGGGTCGACAGACCGTGCTTCCGATCCATACGGTTCCGGTCGGCGAGTGGACTCTGTTGGCGGCTCACCTGTGGATTGTTTGCAGTCCGCCGTCACGCGGCCGTCCGTGCACCGTGCCGCGGCGCTCCGTCGGTCGCCACTGCTCCGGCCACTGTGTCCGTCCGCGCCGGCCGGGAGCCGTGTCCCCGTGTCGGCGCGGCTCCTCGGGGGTGGCAGCTGGGCGCGGTCGATGGCCGCCGACCCGGCCGGACCCGTCCAGCCCGCGGCGCCGCCGTTGTATCGACCCGGCCCGGCAAGGTCACGGCCGGCGCTGCGGCAGCCACGGGCGCTCGTGCACCGCGCCCGCCCAGGGGGCTCCCTCCGCCACGTCCGGACGGCAACAGGTCCAGGGAAGCACCTGTGGCCGGCCCTCGCTGTGACGGAAACTCGCGCTTCCGCGCGGTAACGCAACAATGTGGCCTTACTCCGCTCGCGCTAACGGGAGATTGCGCACACCAACGGACATACACAGTTATCCGCATAGTAGCGAAACGGACCACTGTCACTTTTCACTGAGTACGAAACTATGGGGTCTTCTGCTAATGCTAAGCTACTCAAACTACTCACGGCAAGCACTGGTGAAACTACTCACCCGTATTGGCAGACCGCAGACGCGAGTTTTCCGGTAGTACAGGGACACCGTATGCACTTTCGTAGGTAATATACACCTGTGACATTGCCAGAAACAGCTACTAGTCATGACCTTCTTCGTCGTAACTTGCACCTGAAGCCTTCTCTTTTCGTTAAAAGCCTCCGGTATTCCACACATCAATGGATGCCTGCAACATTCCGTAATGAGACCAGGCTCGTACAACATTTCACACACCCGTAACATTCCTTAATTCCTCGTAACACACCCGTAACATTCCTTGTAACAACACGAAGCCGCAGCATCAAAGCAATAGCTAAAGCGTGAAATAGTTTCTGCTCAGTGAGGCTGTTTTAGTACACGCATGAATACCAATGGAAGCGCTCTTTCAAGGCAGATTCAGCTCAGTAAATAAACCAGAAGAAGACTAACATCTCGCTGGGAAGTGGGGAGTTTGTTGCCAAGGAAAAAAACCAGAAATTGAACAAATCTCACATGTATTCTATCATCCTAATTACCTCAGATAGTTGGGTCAATGTGAATCACCATTACCCTAAGTTTTCGTGAAAAATGACAGCTAAATTGGCATCCATTGAGCTATATTATATCCTGTCTTGATCGCTGTAGGTGCTGTACTGAACTAATGATATTCTAATGTGAGGGACACATTGAACAGCAATCTCTGTCTCATGGTATCCTAGTGGCACTGCCCAGACGCTGCCCAACGTGGCCTTCAGGCTCACATATTTGACCGTTTCAGTTTCACCAGCTGTTGTCAGCTCCTAGTTTCAACTCGCGATCCAATACCTATCCCATTTCACCCGATGGAGGTGATGGAAGACGTGATTTATTGACCATTCCCTGCAGTGTGGGTTCATATTCAAGGAGCAATAGGTATGAATGCAGGGCTCTCATCTAATAAACATTTGACCTGGAGTCTTCCTAGTTTTCCTCATCTGACACGTTGCGATTTGATGCGATTCGCATGGGGCGGTTTCTTTATCCCACCAACAGATGGCGTTAGCTGTCAACGCCTGCGCTGGTATGCTGTACCGCAAGACTGGAGCTTCACTGCGGGTGGGCTAATCGGAGTCCTGCTTTATGGCACGCTGATATGCGGCCGCTAGCCTTTTGTTTTCACATCAATATTGTCAATGAATTAGGAGGGCCCAGGGGCGCGGGAACTACTTTCCGACTGGGGGTGGGGGGGGGGGGGGGGCACACCATAATAGAGATAAACCTAGGGTACCCCCAAATATAGTTTTCTCACCGGTTTTAGGCCACTTATTTTTCATCCCTCGGCTTTTTCAACAAAAAAAGAAAACATTTGCAAAACAAAGTGTGGTATTCCGTCTCAAAGCTGTGGGGTCACCGCCCCCACGGCCCCGGAGTTGGGGGGGGGGGCAAGCTGCCCCCACTGCCCCCCCCCCCCCCCGGCTCCCGCGCCTATGTAGGAGGCTTCAATATTTGCTAATTTATTTATAGTCACCGTGATTTTATCAGTTAATCAACTTTGCCGCTGCATGCCTGCAACAGAAGCAGGTTGGCATATGTAGTTTCATAAATGACGCTATGTGTGCAGTTGGAAATGTCCACAAATACTCAACCTCACGTGGCAGCCGATCGCGGAATCGTCATTTATATGTTTAAACGCATTGAAGCCTGAATGTGACATACTTGTAGAGCTACTGAAGAGCGGTGATGCCGGATGCGGCCCAAGTCGCATGACATCATATGTAGCATGACAAACCTGGACAAGCCTACAACGTCAGCTCGCGAAACGCGATAGTAGCGGCTGGCAGCGGGTCGAGAAACAGGACCCTGTTCTCACTGGTCTGGGTTGGGATGGCGTTCGGGACACGTCCGCGACATCGCACAGCATATGGCTTTGAATCTAGGACTATACCTTTGAAATAGCATTCACAATTCACATATGTTTTCTTGGTTACCTAGTCTCTAGGTAATCGATGCGACGTTACTTATGATGATATCATGATCGAAAAGAGCTTGGCTCGAGAGCTCGAGCGCTTCTGCCGTGTTTTCTCATGAAGCTGATCAATTGAGTTGTCAAATACTCATTTCATATGTTCGGTACTGTTCCTGCTCAGAATATTAACTGGCATATTTCCAGAGACCAGAGACTAAATGTAATCGATTCGTCCACGGCAATGAGGTCCTTTCCCTTCTTCGTTTAAAGCAGACAATAACACTGAATGGATTCCCCGTCCGCTTTGAATCAGTGAGAGCTGATTGATATTTGATACGCACCAGCAGAAGCGTAGGAATCGTTGGCTCTTATAGCGGGAACACCGTGTGATGCTTATTGTAGGTAATTTAGTGTGCTGGCAACTATGGGCCGATTGTCCCTCTGAATTTTAAACCTTAAACTTAAGCCCTCGGGGTCATTGTCTTGGCTCACTCAGCTCACAGTAGCGACATTCGAACCATCTACGTCATTAATTTTGATAGGGTTAGTGTTATCCTCTTCCTGATCCCTGTCGTTTGGCGACGATTTAAGCTCTTACTTATTGCGTAAAGTGTATGTAGTTTGGCTTGTGAGCCAAATGTAACGCACTACTTTTGATGGAGAAAATGCTAAACGAAGTTCTGTGGTGAGACTGGAGCAGAAAGTTGTTCAACATGTGGTTTCTGCTTCATTAGTGGGTTTTCGTTTGTTAACCCCTGCTCTTCTGTTTTGTTCTCAGGTGTTCACGTTCATTGACGCGATGGCCAGTGGAGCGGTGAAGATGGGACTTCCCTGGGCCACTGCCCGGGAACTGGCCGCACAAACGGTGAGTAAACTCCGCAGTCGCGCCGGGGTGCCGGGTGCGGCGCTGTGCGGGGCTCAGTGCCGCTTATAGACGGCGTGTCCGCGGCATTTAGCCGCCGCGGTGGGTTATGTGCGGCCCAGCGTCCGTACATCACTGTGTGCCCGTCGTGCCCAGCCGGCGTGGTAATATGACGCCGTCTTGTTATCTCGCCTGGCACGGACAGCTTTACAGCCGCGATGAATGCGAGTCTGGCCGGGTCGCTGTAATGGAAATCTGGAGCCGGGTTGGCGGGCGCCTGCGGGTCGGCCTGGCGCCGTCAGTGTTATACTGGGCTTGGCTTATGCGTCGCCAGCAAATTCTCGGCTAAATGTACATTTTTATATGTCTCATGGGCTCCCTGGGTGTTAGGCATCGGTATAGAATGGTGACGCCTCAATATTCTAACGCGATGTTTGCATTTCCAGGTGCTGGGTGCTGTAAGTACCAGAAAACTGTACACTAACTACCGCGATAACTGCGTTTTCCAGTTGCAGGTCGCTAGCAGGAGTGGGAAACTGTACAGTTACTCACGCGATATCTGCCTTATCCAGGTGCTGGGCGCTGGCCGGGCCGGGGAACTACACAGTAACTAACGCGATATCTGTCCTTTCCAGGTGCTAGGCGCCGGTAAGATGGTGCTGGAGACAGGCCGCCACCCGTGCCAGCTGAGGGACGAGGTGTCCTCACCGGGCGGAGCCACGATCGCCGGCCTCCACAAACTGGAGGATAGCGGTCACAGGTGAGCGCAACAGCAGGGACGGACGGGAGGGAACGGATCAGTGCTGACGGTATTTTGTCCGACTAACATGATCCACGAAAGGTATCGCTTCGTTTTGTCATGAAGTCTGATTGATGCTGATTGCTGATGTAAGCCGATAAGCTTAACGACATTTCAGCAATGATACTGCCACGGTGACTATAAATAGATACTGCGGTGTCGCATGACCCCATATTGATGGTGTGGTGGATTAGTTGAGCGGTAGTAAGATAGATGAGCGATCAATAATCCTGAGTTATTTGTCATTAGTTGGGTGGCTAATTAGAGCGCATTAATTAGGTGGTAGAGTCGTTTGTGAGCTACAGTAGCGACGGTGTCTGAACGCACCCACCTGTCGCAGGTCGGGTGTGATGTCAGCCATAGAAGCGGCTGTGATGCGGAGCAAGGAGCTCGGCAATAACTGAAGGCTGTGACCGAGTAGCATGCCAAGATCTTCCGTGGGAACATCGTCGACATGCATTCCACTCAAAGTACGCGATTAGGAGACGTAGGGGTATTTTGTGAAATTTTATAACGGGGCCATTAAAGTGGATCTGCGGATTCGTGGGTCATTTTTGTTGTTATTATCCTTTTGATACCTTACCAACGGCCAGACTTGTTTGTGTTTATACATATTCTAGATTTTTATAGAACCTTATGAGCAATTTTTTTCCCAGACGCATCCTGTTCTTTCGGGTATTTGATTTGATTGTGTACAGATGTCACATTGATGCAATATACGCATGAAGCACACGCAGTTATTGCGTTTTTCAGCACTCAGTATCACGTTTATTGCTTCCAACATATACACAGTACTAAGAACAAGCAATACAATATTCGTCGCCTACCTATGCGCCCTGTGGCGTTTCATCTTTTCTCATTTCGTTCGCTTGACATTCGTAGCAAGCAATTTTTCTTCAATTTATCCGCTACTGCAATTCAAGAATTTCTTTCAGCGTCATCACCGTTCAGAGGCATCATTCAGTTCTAGTGCCTGTTCCAGTCCTCGCGGGCGTATTGAAATCGTTTGCTTCATTGGGTTCATAGCGTCCTGGGTTACATCGCATCCGCCATTCACGAATCACCACAAAATAGAAGGGATGGTTAGTGGTTACTCCCGCGGATGCCCCAAAGCGTTGATAACTGTTGACAATCAATTCCGGCGTGAGTCATGCAAAACGCCATGTTACGAGCATTTGTTTCGAAAACGCATATTGTCTTTCTGACATATTTCGCAGTAAACACGACACAAACGCTCGTGAGCAGTCACTTTGCATGTCAACTTCTGAAGGACGGGCAATTTCAGCTGATTTGTGGTAACAGCGCCCGTCCGCCGCGCCTGGGTGTTTGTCGGGTCAGTGTGTACTAGTGCGGATTGCAAGCTCTCACCATTTGGAGTCGGGAACGGACGTCGAGTCTACTTCGTATCGGTCTCTCAGCGGTGCCCGAACTCACTCGGCTCTCACATTCCCTGCTACTCACGGTTGGTGAGAAGATCGGCTTATCGCCGCCGTGTCGCCTCGCGGATGTGATGGCCGTGCCGGGCCGGACGTTACTCTGCACAGCCACCATCGTGTTCGTGCTGTGGCCGACGCCGTCTACCGGGGACCGTCACCTCCGACAAGCGCTGTCAGAGCTCCCTCCCGTCACCCCCGGACCGGAGTGCCATCAGAACTGTCTCCGGGACGCCGCCCGCGCCGCCGGGACTGCCGTGGACCGTCGCTGCTCGCAGCGCTGTGCTGGCCGCCGACGGCGCTGTAGGTGCCGACGCCGCGCTCTCCGGAGGTACTTGTTCATGACGCGGGCTCGCTGTGCCGCCCTCTGCCGGGAAGGAGCTGCCTCAGGCGCTACTGCATCTGATACAACCGCTGACAGCCCGTGCCGGTCCGGCTGTGTCCTGCGATTTCCTTACGAGGTCACCGTGAACGTTGCACCGCGTAGCCAACAGCGACGGCAGGGCGGAGCTGGTGCCTCCTCTGACGGTCCCATGTCGCTGGCTGACCGTCTGAGACACGTGGAGGAGCTGCTAGAGACCCTCCTCCGCCGGCTGGGAGACAAGCTGAACCTGCTGACCGAGACGCCACACGTGGTACATCGTCACATTCACCAGGGCGCAGTGCCGCCGCCTGACAAGATAGCCGTGCATGTGCACAACGCGGCGCCTAACGTGCACGTGCACAATAACGTGCAGGCGGTGAGCCGCTCGGAGAGTACGTCTGCAGCCCGAGCGGCCGATACCGTGGCGGTGCAAAGGGGAACCCAGGAGGGTAGCGCTGCTGTGTTGGGAAACAGCACGGAGCTGGCTCAGCGGAGCCTTGGTGAAAACAGGAACGACAAGGCCACAGATCCCCGCCAGTTACCGGATGGATGATTTCCGGAAGACCGTTGAGTCACCAAGTGTGACCGTTTAGTCACCAAGTGTGACCGTTGAGTCACCAAGTGTGTAGGTATGTCGGACTGTGAACTTCACAGGAAGGTGGCTGGAGGTGGTCAGACATTGTCGAGGTCATGGTCTTGTCTCTCTCATTCACTTGCCGCTCGGAGGGATGTTTCGGATAGTGAAAAGGGAGGGACTGCACGGACAGCAGCGTGGGCTTCAGTGTCAAATACAAGATCACGTAGCGCAAAGCAAGTGTCCTGCACGTAGTCGAGGGTCATTGCTTGATAGACGCTTTCACAGAGATTAAGATATTAGATATAAATTACACAACAACGGTGGAGATGCAACTCACACAGTGACGTAGCAACCAGCTGTATATTTACATTCCTTATACACAAATACAATTCGGCAGCTGACTTCACGACTGAAGTTCCTATTGATCGAGATCACTTCCAGAACGATACAAAGTGCATGACACCAAGACCAGAAAATACACTGTCAAAATACAACACATTACCACCGTTTACCACCGTGCTAGTATCAGGTGCTCGGCTGCTACATTGCGGGCCCATATCCGTGGTAGTTCAGTTATTGAACAAGTCATGCACGCTGAAACTGAACACCCGGTGCAGCTCGCAGGTGCAGTTGGGCCCGCCCAGTTTGTACTTGCACAGGTGGGCGCACATCTCTGCCCAGTCCACATATGAACCCTGCAAGCGGCGGGCACGGTCAGGCCGGAGACACATTTAGATGGCGTCGTGAACTTTGAACGTCAAACGGACCTGCCGACCAGGCACACGCCGAAGAACTGAGGCGCCGTGGATAATGACGGAATCGAGGCCGTACAGTCTGAATCCATGGCTGTTGTGATGCATCATTAAGTTCATGAATGATAGGTACTTTATCAGAGTAGGTACTCACAAAGTTCTCGGGCGGCGGCACATTTTTCCTGGCACAGACTCGCCGACAGTATTCGGCCGACGTTTTCGGCGGCAGAGGGCAGGCTACGCAGAATCTGTAGTCGTGGATCACACGGTGAGCTAGTGGTAAATCGACGTAATAGGCACACGAGAATGGTCTGATTTGAGCACGGGAGTAGCAAACTGTAAGAGTGAATGAAGAGTGTCTGCTTGCCGCCAAATACACGCTGGCGAGACTGCAAGCAGAAAGTGCGCGGGCACGGTCACTAGGGTGAGCGTATGCGACAAATACCTCAACCTGGCTATGTTGTTCGAGCACATGCGATTCGCTCGCAGCGGGACGGTTATGCTCTGGATAGTAGGGTTTGACTATTTCCAGCCTGTTTAGATCTCTTCACGCTCTTGCTGTGTAGGTACTAGGTATCGTACTGAATACCCGGGTCTCGGTTCACAGCCGTCTGAATACGTACCGGAATATGTCCCTGTCCATGTCCGGGTCCAGTTCGTCCAGGTTGACGTCCTCCCTGGCGCTGATCCGGCCCGACTGCAGCAGCAGCAGCAGTAGCAGCAGCGGGTGCGGTAGTCGGAACGGCGCCGTCTTCGGCCTCATGATGTTGGCTAGCGCCGACGAGCTGGACAGGCGGATAAAGTTTCACAGCTCCTGTTAACAAAGAAAAGGGCTGACATATTGTTACAAGTTGATGCGAGCGACACATGATACAGGTAGGTACTTGGAGAGCACGGCACGTGGGTTCTCATCGGGGATCACTGCACGACAAATAGGCCCCGAAAGAGGCATAGGATGATGGGACTGCCAATGAGCCGGAGCAGTACTAACTGGAAAACGGTACACGTCATTACTTACCCAATGTCAATGCCACGTCGAACAAGAGGTGACGTCAAGGTGGCGTTGTTTTGCTATCCTTGCCGACACTGTTCGTTTGTTTATGTCTGTTTCGCGCGTCAAGGAAGAACTGACAAAAACTGATGATAGTTATCACTGGGTGTTGTATTCCTCGAATTATTACACAAGAAACACAACCTTCATTCAAGTATATGGGTCAAAACGGTAGGCAATATTCAGCAGGAGTCAACTCACTCTGAGAATACAGCGATAAACAACCAAATATGAACTTCGTAATATGGGTCAATCGAGCGATGCCTCGAGCCTACACGTCGCTGAATGCCAGGAACAACATAAATAAACAAAAAGGACGGAGTTTAAATCAAAACTGTCCCTATCACGATTAGCGCGACTTGTCTCGTCTCGCACGACTCACAAGAGTCACATAGAAAATATCGAAAATATCTTCGAAGATAACGTGCCTAAACCAAGCGAAAACCTGCAATAAAATAAAAATAAACCAGACTGGAAAGGCATGTTAACATACGGATTGGCGAACGAACCAAACAAGTTTTCAGTGATGACTATCGACAAGCAGCATTCACAATCCGTGGCAACAGTATCAAGGAGCAATATAGGCACGCGTCACAACCTTGCTACAGTACCTGATCATCGCCATGATTTATGATAGGTAACGGGCTCCAATAAGTCAGTGTGAACCGGGTCAAATACTACCTACAATGCAATAAAAGGTCATGTCTTATCCACATATTATATCACTAGGTGTAAAACGATACGCGGAAACTCTGCTACCTTAGTGGACCGCTAGCTATAACAAGTTATCCATGGTGCCAGGATCTCTGGCAGCTTTGGTAAGTTCATTTTCCATTGTCAAACCTCGTATTGTTACCGTTTGTGCGTCTGTCACCACAGCCAACACACATTAATCCTAACTATCTATGAGGTCATTCAGTCCGCACGATATCCGAATTAGCACATATTACCAACGTCAGTTTCCATCACCAATGGACACTTCAATATAGCCCGTATCACAAACAAGCCTCGTTTTTCGTCAGAGTGCAGTCCGACCGCCCTCCCACCGCCGCTCAGCCGCGGATGGCGCATGAGTCGGCACGCGGCGGACAGCCCGGGTACTCCTCCAGCTGCGGGTGGTCCAGATCCCCGCGGTCGGCGCCCTCGTCCGGCCCGTGGCTGGGCGGGCCGCGGTCCCGCACACACGCGCACCGTTTCTTGCCGCCGCCGCCGGTGAAGTACTGCCGCGGCACGCCGACCCAATCACGCGACACACCACCGCTACGGCGCGAGCACGACACGCGGCCGCCGCGCGCCTCGCTCCACTCCGAGTTACACGGCGGGAACAGCTGTTTGTCGGTGTCCGCGCGGCGCCGCTGCTGGTGCGCCTCGCCGATCCGCTGCAGCAGGCGGCGCTGGTGCTCGGTGCCGCGGCCGTCCTCGCCGAAATACCGGCCCACCAGCAGACCCACCTCGCGGTAGTCGCGCCGGTAGAACTCGAGCCACTCCTCGAGACCGATATAGTCCTGGCCGCTCAGACCGTCCACGTCATCCCGCAGCCCCGCCTCGGAGAAATCGCCCGAGACGAAGGCGCGTGATGCGTCACGACCGGCGAAGAAGGCGTACCCGCCGCCCGGCCCGTAATGCTGGCGACCCTTGCTGACATCGAACACATGACCCAGCAGCGCGATGTAGACCGGCTTGGACGGATCGGCGCCGCTGTGCTCCGCTAGCTCCTCCGCCGTGAAGAGACGCGTCACGGTCCCTCGCCCAACCCCTCCGTCCTTCCCCTTCTTCGGCTTCTTCTTATAGCTGCCACCGCTGTCAAGTTTGGGACCGGGTGGGGCCGGCTGAGACACCTTCCCGGTGAACTTTTGCAGTACCGCGTCTCGCAGAGGGGCCGCGCGGCTCACCACCGCCTCTATGGAGCTGACTATGTGCTCGTGCGCGTGCTGGAGCGCCGAGCGGAGTCCGAACCGATCTTCGCGGTAGAACCGGCTCTCGGTTATGATCTCCGGAGGGAAGCGGTTGAGCGCGTACCCGAGCAGCAGCGAGAGTAGCGGCGCCAGCACCATGCCGCGGAACCCCATCCTGTCACTGTGGTGACGTGATCTGCTCAGCAGGCCTGCCGCAGAGGGGAGAGAGTTGGTATAAGACAACAAAGTAGGAAGTGCTGCAAAATGGATACAACAAATCACATCTATTACACTACTTGCACCAATATGCTATCATCAGATTCATCACTGCACGTGAAAAGGTTACAAAAATATGGACTATCTAGTATCTGATGACATGAAGAGCAGTTCACACCTTTAACCTGAAGATACAATGCAGGTACATAGTAACAAATTAGTGCAAACCTTGAGATAATTCAACATTCATGAATCATATATCAAAATATTGCTCCTTTTGTGGACGATAAAATGCTAGCCTTATGCAAATAGATTTGTCAAATCAACTATCCCAATGGCAGATCCAGACCAATCTGTATTCTGTTGTCTTGCAGGGAAACATAACATTGGGTCATTTCAATTTTGATTTGCCACTACGGCTCAGGTCCTGCAGTGTCAATTCTGTCAAACATCATACTTTTTTTAACTTGCATTGGGGGGCAACTTAAATCTTCTATGAAAAGTTCTTTCTTTAAATCCAGCAGCAGCACATAGAGAAGCACTAAGGTCTTGTCAAGATCAATTGTCAAGTTAAAGAAAGATATTTTTGGGTTCCACATTATCCCACACACTACACAGAACTTTTCCCAGTAAATATTTAGTTTTTAACTTTAGGTCAAACTATGTCATGTGGGCCCTGTTTCACCGGTGATAGCAGCAAGCTGCTATCACCGGAAGCGAGAAAAGTGTTACGTCACTGCGATTTTTCATATACCTGTGCCCCTCGGACGTGACGTAGTGTGCTCGCGCGCGTGCAGGGTCTCTGCGATCGAAAAAGAGCGCTAGCAGCGCGCCCACGGTATATAGAGTACTAGGTAAAACCGGTTCGAAATTACAACACTAAGGTATTTTGACCACTATTTTCAGCTGACCCTTTAAGTCTAAAAAAGAGAACTGAGCAACAAATTTTAATGAGTTTTATTATTTGTATATATATTTTTGATTTATGATCAGAGACCACGCCATGTATGAATCTGTGAAGCATTAACGAAAATAAATTGTTGGCTATCTCCGCCATTTCAAAAATTATATATCTTAAGTTGCAAGGATTGTTCATGGACAAAATTAATTTTTCACAATCAAAATTAAAAATTGAAGGACAAAAAGTAATATCAAAGGTGTAGTGACCGTAGCCTATGAGTACCGTCGTACTGAGTACCGAGTACTCGTTTCTCTATTGTGTCGTTTCTTGTCCGCCACTATCGAAAATAAACAGTCTCCATCTTGGACAAATCGTGGCGTGTCGTGGCCCGGACCGTTCGACGGAACTACACACCCAGGACACTATATTGTGGCGACGAGGATGAGATCGTTTCTCGTACTCGTTTCTCTATTGTGTCGTTTCTTGTCCGCCACTATCGAAAATAAACAGTCTCCATCTTGGACAAATCGTGGCGTGTCGTGGCCCGGACCGTTCGACGGAACTACACACCCAGGACACTATAAAAGGCCAACTCCCTTTTGTTGAATTTCGAAATTACCATGGTTCTGAGCTGTTCAGCCTACCGGACCTGCCAATGCTCTACCATGAATTGTCGAGTAACTTCAGTGATGTGGGGCTTACATTATGGTCAAAAAATATCAAAATTGAATTATCTATCAGATTCTGTGCCTTTTGTTGCCTTTTAAAGGTTGGAAACTGTGTTTAGTTGATGTTCAATACATAACCACCATTGCTGTCCATGGTCACCCTGTTCCACTATATGTAATGATTCTCAAAAACTAGATCGATGTGGGGTCTAAATATTTCACTAAAATTAACAGAATCGCTTACATTATAATATATTAAAATGTCAAAACGTAAGAAACGCGGGAACTTTAAAAGATTTACGTCTAATTCTAAAACTTTGAATTTTGAATACAAAACAGTTCTGGACGAAAACATAGCTAGATGGTGAACTAGTCATTGTTGGGCTCACAAAGACCCTTTATTGAAATAAAAATTCAATTTTCTCCCAAAATATGTATGATTTATTGCAGTTTAAGAATCAAAAGATGCATTATTTTGGTCTGGTATGCGTTGGCTTCCTTGCCGCCTAAGGTCACACGGTGAGAGTTAATGGCATATTATTAGAAAACAAGACCGATGTGGGGTCTATTTAAAGCATGATAGTAAACAAAATTGAATTTTGTATCTATTGGTATAGGTTTTTAAACAACATAAACGCGGGAACTTTACGAAACGTGGTATTGAAAACTGCCGACCATAATTATCACCCGCAGTTGCGCGCAGTTTTCTGTACTGCTATCGCTAGCAAACGCCAGATTTTGTATTTGATTGGTTTAACGGCGTTTCTTTTACTGATTGAGAACACTTTTAAGTTTCAAGCTATTCAGCATGGCTTTGGATTCAACTCAAGGCGCTCAAGGCTATAAACATTTTCAAATTTAATGAATTTTCTTGTTGGATTTGTTTTTGATAGGCCACGGAACAGGAAACGGATTTTGAAATGTATTTTTATTGTGAGTTTATCTGTGCCGGGTGGGGTGGATTTGTGTCAAGTTTCTTTTCTGTGGTTAGTTGAGATACAAGTCAAAATAGTTTTTATATTGATTTGCCATCGGGATTATTAGGTAGTTACCTATCCTACGAAGTATGTAGTCTACCTGAAGTCAAGTCTATATAAACCCCTCACCCAGATTCGTTTTGGTCCTCTGCTCTCTTGTTTCCATGATCCTGATCCTCTCCTTCTCTTCTTCGTCTCAATCTCCTGCTTCAGGTTGAGACCCTGCTGTGGTTGGCCATTTCGAGTTGTGCTTTTGGAGCTTGCAGCAATGCGTGTTGCAAGTAACTCACCAGAAAAGATGATGCTCTGAGAATTAATAAACAAAAGCCCACAAAGTCCTGTAATTGACAAGTTACATGGATAAGTTTGAGTTATTATATCATTAAAAAAGTCTTGCAATGTGTGTAGCGATCATGAAATACATGCCCTCTGCGGGCTTTGTCCACCTCTCCCAAACATCCACCCTGCTAAGGGTTGGACAGACAACTATCTGATGGGGGAAGCCTGGAGGTTCCCCCAGGGTCCAATCTTATAAAATGTCTTACTATTTTATTCACGGCATTTGGTAACATTTATGGTGATGTCAGTGCTGTCAGTGCTGAGTCTGGGTGACTGAGTCTTGACAACTCACCTCAACCTGGGTGTCTGCCCAGACCAATGTTTCCTCATAATGTCTCCAGGTCGACACGGTTTTAACAGGCACTCGGACCTAATGTATACTTTTACCGGTCTCCACTGCTCTCCTCGCCTGTTTCAGCTGTCTACCCCTGCACGCTTGATTCCTGACTCCCTCTCTCATTCGATTTACCCAGGTTTTGCCAATGTTCTGAGTGTTCAGTTGCTACTTTTTGGTGCGCACACACCCCAGACTCTCCATCCAATTAATGCCTGAACAGTTGCTGAAAGTGCCTCCCACCAGACTTGCTGAATGGCTACTACTTGCATATGCTATCTGGACTGAAGCTTCCCCAACTAGCTGCCATGGCTCTCGGCAGCTGGGCTTAATAGGTCACAGGTCAAAGTTCATTTGGGTCAGGTTCATAAAATGTCAAGGACATGTGTAAAATTGATCAACTGGAGGGTACTGAAAGTTTCGTCGCAATCGGCGTCTTTTTATGCGAGTTATGAGTTATCCGCGAAAATCCGAGGAGGGGGCCCCCCCCCATACGGGCGAGGGTTAGGCCACATTCGGAAAGTCAAGCTACATCTAGCTAGGCACATCAGCCTATCACGGGCGTTTGACTAGTAAAATATAGACATTTGCAGCCTTTTTTGACGTTGAATTTGCTGATTTAGTTATAGGTCGTCAATCGTCATTATGTGCCTGCCGCCGCTTTTGTCGTCTTCATTGTGTGCTTTGTGGTTTTTTAGTTTTGATTATATCATCCTCCATCAGGCTTGTTTCTGGCAGTGGTTCTGGAGACAGCGTGTCGATCCAGCTGTAGAACGTCATCCGGAGGTGGCAGAGTGTGCTGGCCAGCCACGCGGCGCGCGTATCGACATTGACCAGAAACTATCACATCATCTCCAGGTCAGTACCTAATTGTGTGAACCAACGCGTCCACAGGTCAGCTGTGTCCCTTTTCGTCACTAGATCAGCGACGTGATGGCAATTCTGTGACCCGTCACCGCGTCGTGGGTGGGTGGCTCGGGAGAACTTTTTGTGTTGCCGGGATGGGATGTCTGCTAATGCAGGTGCCGCTGCAACTTAGTGTCGTGACGTATGATGGGTCTCAGGTTCGGGTTTGGATTTCTCGAGTGAGAAATGTGTGTACAGGCTTATGTACTGTTATTATAGCTGAGTGTGCGTCAGGAAACGTTATGAGCTATGAGTCGTGGTCGCCGTGGCTCGTAGTGGTATTTGACGACCGTCGTGACCTGTGACGGTCACCGTGACTGCTATGTGATGGTCGCCGCGGCTGGCATATGACGGCCGCCGTGACTTCTATAACGGCCTTCGTGACTGAAACGTGACGGTCGTCTTGACATGCCGCGACTCGCTGCTTTACAGGTCACTGGTCGAGGGCGCTCGAGCTGACGGTGTCTTCCGACGGCTCCACGGTGACCAGCGCCGCCACCGCCGAGACCATCCGACTCCTGAAATGCTAACGGCCGTGCACGAACAAGAGGCTCTAAGCATCCAGGTGCAAGGCAAGCGCCATGCTCAGAGGTGTCATCCGAAGAAGGCCGCACAGTGCACTTTAGGGTGAGCTCGGGTGTAGTGCGCGCCGACGGATAGGATGAAATGACGGGCCGGCCATCAGATTTCAGTGCGGGGATCAAGGTGGTCGGAGCCGATGTGGCTCGGTTGATGGTGTGGCAGGGACCAGGGTTGATTGAGAGTGAAAGCGAGACACCCGGATCTGTAAAGAATACGCCGATACGGGTCTCGAACGTCGTCCCGCAATTTGTGCTCTGTAATATGACGGCTATGCCGTGGTATCATTCACTCTCGGTGCGCTAATAAATAATTAATAGGACAGAGGCTGGAATTAAGATATTATATTTGGATGTAAGGGGCAGGTTTGGGCCAGCGCTATTTTAGAAATCGTGAGCGTGCTAGTTGCAATCAATCGTGCGCTTCTTGTTGAGCATCTGGAGCGAGAAAATACTTTCTTTGGAACTTAGCAGTTCGTCGTGAAATATTTGTATCTTTGGAGTCAGTTGTCAGAACATGAATGCATTTTTGGTGTCCACTGCAGCTGCTGTTCTGGAACAGAAACATGCCGAGATCGGCTGTGTTTGTATGTTGTGGCAAAATCAAGCAGCCGTACCATGAATCAAAAGCGATATGTGAATTAAAGTGAATATATTTCACTATTTTTCAGTTTTATCATACAGATCACAGAAATGCGTCAAATACTGATCACACCCGGTTCCAAACAAAAACGCTTGCGATCACTGGAAAATAAATGAACAATAGATACCCATGTGGCTGCCTGGCGTGATCCGAGACTCTCTCTCTCTCTCTCTCTCTCTCTCTCCTCTCTCTCTCCCTCTCCCCCTCTCTCTCTCTCTTTCACTGTTGTTGCTGACGCACACGGCCGAATCGGCCAAGATGGAGAGCACGGAACGATGCTGGTGACTGGCGGACCAGCGAAAACAGGAAAGGAGATGAAAAGCTCTAGCTCCCGTCTGCGCGCGGAAGGGCGCTGATTGGCGCGGCTCACAGACTCCATTGGCTCATCAGACTGTTGTTGGTTTTCTCCCTCCCCTCCCACAGGCCTAGCCAGGTAGCTTAGCTGTGCGCGGAAGCGAGCGGCCAGAGCGGGGCTAGGCGTCGCCCTCCCAGGTACCGGGCAGTGCAGCTGGACTTGCCGCGGATGGTCCCCCTCTGATCTCGGCACACTCGGCAGAGTGCGGCCGGACACGCCATGGAGTTGCATAGCGTGGATAGGCCGTATGGTGTCGCTGTCGTTATTATAAAAGCGTAAGTAGAAGGTTGAAGCAACTAGCAAGATAGAATGCCATCTTTTTTCGAGCTTTGTTACAAATTATTAGTATTGGCCGTTTCACTACATATAATATCGGAAAGCACAGCTTTATGCGCTGGCTACAATATATGCGCGTCGGTTGCGGCAGTAATCATCGAAGAAATATATGATTTATGAACGTTTCTTGGTCATAGAATGATAATACATTGCAATGATTACCTGTTGTAAAGAAAACTCCTATACTGCCGCTCTATCGTCCGGAATTATTCGTGTTTGATTACGGTGATTCCGCCACTCTATCAGCTGATTTTTGTTTCCGAGTCACGTGACCAACCGGTGTCTCCCTGAGCGCGCCACTCGACGCCGCAATTGTCAAAAGCGGCGTGTTAGTATGCTTTATTATGAGTGGTGTGTGTAAAAGGGAGTTATTATGTTGTTTATTTGGAGGAAATGGTTGGAATAAAATGAGTTATTTTTATTTCTGTTGGTTGGAGTTTTTATTCAAAAGATTTCGGTCTATAGCATTGATATTTACTGAAAATACCTTCGTTTGAATGAATTGCAGATATTTGGCAACTGAAGTGTTAGGTAAGCCTAAATCATACGTAAAAGGGTAAGAGACACCCTGATTATCATTTTAGAGACGGAAATATATGAATTTCCCTTATAAGACTCGCTCAATATGCTACTCCGCGGTTTATGCCCCGAGGGTGTCCGAGGGTTCCCGTTAGTTTGTCGTTGGCGTCGGCTCGCGCGCGAGCCGACGTCATCGCCCGTGACGTCGGCTCGCGGAATGCGTCATACCCTGCACACAAAATAGCCGGCTGCCGAACAGCGCTCTGTTTCACCGGTGATTGCAGCAAGCTGCTATCACGTTTCGCGAGCTGACGTCATGTCGTGACGCCATACTGTTGTCGTAATGGGTAGTTCCGGCGCACGATTGCCGCGACCTTGGCGGCGGCATTAAGTGACGTATGAGCCTAAAAGTAAGAGTTTACGCAGTCATGATAGTATATATATTTTTGATATATATTTTTTTCAATATGATGTATTTAAAAGAAGTTGGGTTTAGGAAAAATTTGGACATTTACTTCGAACATTTAGCTGATGACGTAAAACAATATTGCGGCAATCGTGCGCCAGAATTGCCCCTTACGTCAGCAGTATGACGTCATCACATTACGTCAGCTCGCGCAATTTGATAGTAGCTTGCTGCTATCACCGGTGAAACAGGGCCGTGGTATCCTCGGATTTGCAACGAAACTAAAGGCTGTCGGTTCTAAAGTAGGTAAATAAATACCTTTTCCCTTTAAGCCATCAGCGTGACGTGAGGTGCATGATAGTGGGAGTCAGCCATAATATCATGATGTGAAATGTGAATATCGCATAATATAATACCACAGTGTATATAAATACAGTGTCGGCAAATGAGCCTGGTCACGTGACCGGCGGACTCGCTGTTTTTCGAGGGATTCGCACGTGCGGTTGTGGCGGGGGCACCTCCCGGTAACTGTGGTGCCGACTCGCTCTCGGCCCCCATAGGGATACAATGGGACCTACTTTTTGATTAGCTCTCCTGACTAAACTAGGACGGATTTTTCAAAGATACAACTAGCACCACATGCAGTTGTGTGTAAGCTTTCTAACGGTACCAAAAATATATTTTTATCGGCAAAATTGAATAAGTACAGGCCCATTTTAGGTTCGATTCGCGCTTATGACGGAAGAGAAGCCACCACTAATTATAAATACAACGAACAAGTGTTGGAAACCGGAGTATAAATGCAGTTTTGAATTACATTAAAGCCATTTTCAGTCACTGCAACCGATGAGTGGAAGTGATCGGTGTATTAGGTCACCCGTTACCGTTAGGTATTACTTTTTAACTACCTACCAACAACACCCATAGGTATTGTTCTGATCTATTCCAGACAACAAACTAAGGTTTTGTGTTGAACTGTGCCAGAAAGAGCAGTTAGGTCAAATATGGATACGAAGGTAAATAGGACTATACGAGCATCCATGTTGATACGTTTATGCTGGAGCTAGTAGTTGATAGGTGTTCCGTTCTATTGATGCGGGCAAACAACGAATCGGGGTTGTCATGGGCGAATCTATAGGTATAATTGTGTCTTGTATGAAACATGCACGGTATCTGCAAATACTAGAATGCTGCTGCTAAGCTGAAAGAAGGCTCAGCCGGACTTTTATACTATGAACCGGCCATGTTACGTTTATGCCGGGCTCGAGGGTGCAGTGTTCGTCACGGGCCAGCCAACCCACAGAGCACAGCCCAGCCCAAGCGGGGCCCATGGGCGCCGAACCCAGCACAGCTCAGGCCCATTGAATTTCACACGCTTTTGAGGCTTTTATGGCGGTCGCCGGAATCGGCAAATGGTAGATCAACTCTTCAAAAATTGTTTCAATATCTACTTCGCTGGGAGGCAATGAGCTTTGATTGTCAAAAAATGCAAAACTTTACAATTGTTACAGGCACAACATCCGAAATGCAACATGTGCTTATAGTTGTACGCCCGTCCTTAACATGGTTGTCATAAAGTTGGGGGAGGGGGGAGGCGGCCGCACGTTGAGGGGTCACAGTCCGGTATTTTGACGCCCCCCCCCCCTTTACCGCCTGAACGGGAACCTTCACTCCATCCCGTCCCGTCCTCTGTATTAACCGCCTTTAAGCCCGCCCGATGACCCTGCCGTTTTCAAAGCCAACCTGAGCTGAGCAAGATAATTCGGTGTAAACGTCGACAACTGCAGTGAGTTGTGTGCAGTCCCGGTGTTCCGCTACAACATTATTGCACCTCTCGTTTTCGCCATCATCGACGCCGTGCACTTCCGAAACATGGATGCTCCGGGACAGTTTGAAACAAGTAGATGTCCTACACGGACGCTTTGCACATCCAGTGTCTGTACATATTTCCATATTTCAAACAAATCGAGCAGAAAATATTATAACGAAACAGCGGCGTACAGCGTACAGCGTGCAGCGGGGATATCTGAACAATGCACCATGCATGACGAAGAGCCAGCAGACCCTGGTGCAGCTCAAGACGGCGGTCGTTGATACCACTCTTGTGCCTGCGCCCAATGCGCGCCAACGTTGGCGGGGGGGGGGGGGAGCAGTGAGTCATTCAATACGTTGAGCTACTTTGAACATGTCCCATAGCGGCCTGACAGTAGCAAATGTGTGTTGGCTAGCTGCGCAACTGAGTAAATTTTCACACAATTTTACTTCCTTTGATTTGCAAATCCTTTTATCTGGTAAACATGCTTGAAAGTAGAATGATAATGAAGTGATTCAGTTTTTGGAAACGTTTCAGAACAAAACATATTAAAACAATGTCTCATACGTATTATCAGAATAACAACAAAGACCGCCGGCCATCGGTCATGCACACCGTTCACCTGTCACTATCACTGCCAGTGGAAACGCACACACACACGCGCGCACACGGACACACACGTCAGCCGCAGTCAGTTACAGGTAAGCTCCCAGAGGCCTCTCCGACGGCGGCCGGCCGGCTCCCAGAGGCTGCTCCGACAGCGGCTGGCCGTGGCTCCCAGGGACTGCTCCGACGGCGCGGCGGCTGTCGCTACCAGGGGCTGCTCCGACGGCGCCTGGCGCGCCGCTCGCAGATCCTCCTTGGAGTTCTAGCGCGCTGATGGTGGCTGTGTGATCCGCTTTCCCTTTCTGAGCTTGGTGTAGCACAGGCGACCTGCAACCACATCACAAAAACTGAGTTTGTGAATTTGAATCAACTTTGAACTGAACCACAACTATTATGTTTTTTTATGAAGATTTACCAAACCAACAATTTCAACTTCCACACTGCGCTGACAGGTATACACATAATACACAAATAAAGGCTAAAACCGTTTTTCCACTTCTTCCACTTGTCATCAATACATTTTGCCCAACATATGAGTGTGCAACAAGAAATACATATGACTAGCCTGCTGCATCGCTTTGGTGGCTTCGTGCAAAATGTAAACCTAAAAATTTTGCTCTTTCTGATTTATGGTACATCACTTTTATGCCAATTTATTAACTTTTTGGAAGGTGGGATTGTCCCTTTAACACAGGCAAGCCCTTGCCGAGCCCGGCATATGCCCGGCCTCCTCGAGCTTAGGCCCGGCAAAAGTCCGGCGGGTCCGAATTTAAGCCCGACACCGGGGCCCTGTTTCACCGGTGATAGCAGCACGATGCTTTTACACGTGTCAAATTGGGTTTCCATGGAGACATGAACAGGCCCATTGCTCCAACACTACCACAAGTGTGACGTCAGTCGTCAGCTCGCGCAATTTGATAACAGCGTGGTAGCAGCGTCCCGTGAAACACCGCCCGGGCCCGTAGGCTCAAGACTTGCATCATTACTATGCATATACTGGTATGGTAAGCAACCTGGCATATGAGTTGGACTCAAACAATGAAGTTAAGTGGCTAGTGCTTACCGGAAATGAGCAATCTGGTACCCGTTGTACTGGAAGAGTGTTGGGATGCAGCTGCCCTCCTCAAAATGACAGGAACAGAGCTGGGAAGTGCTCCTGGTAACTGCATCTGCACGTCTGTAAATGACAGATGCAACAAATGTAACAACTGGCATACTGTTCTTGCACGTGGACTTTTACATACAAAATGCCTTGTGTTTAGAGGTAAGATATTGACTCAGACAGCACAGCCACAGCTTCTAAACAGGATGGTATCACTGACACTGTATCATGTTATTTTGGCTCCAGAATCCAGAATCAGAAGGTTGACATCCTCACCTAGCAATCAAAATGTAGCTAATTGGCTTTATATCAATGTGAGGTGCTAAGAGTGAACAATTATGATTATTTACAATGCTTCAGAACATGGTCAAACCTTAACTAACCCAACCTACAGTGGTTCGCTAGCAACATTCGTAGCACGTCTTTTTTGTACATAGTAACTGGAATATATGCTAGGCAAGAGTACCTACATCTTTTTTTTGTTAAAGAGGTATGCATTTGGCCTGTAGCCTATAACACACCTCTTCAACCAAAAATATTTTCCTTACCCATCCCAACACATCCCTTAGAGCTGCCTGCCGCATTACACTCAACGGAATACCAGGTCAAAGCATTACCTTCATTAGGTAACTTGTGATAAATATGATAAGCTTTTAATGGATTTCATGTTCTCTTTCCTGTAATTAGTTTTATGCAATGGATTTGATTTGTTATGCTCATTATGATCAGCACAAAAATAAAACCTTTATTTATATAAACAATATTTTCTGTATTTTAATAAAAGAAGAACTATATTTGGTAGTAGTAAAGCAGGCATCACACTTCTTTTTGCAACCAAGGAGAGGTGCTGTAGGTTAGGTTGTAGGTTCTAAGTTGTACAAAAAGTTGTAGCAACAAAAAGCAACAAAAGCAACAAAAAGTTGTACCTAGGTTGTAGAGTTTAGGTTGTAGGTATGGCTAGGTCAGGTTTAGTTAGGTTTGTTTTGGCTTGGTTCAATTAGAAAGCATCTCTGGGTATAGCACCTCTCCTTCATTGCAAAAAGTAGTGTGACGCCTGCTTTACAACTAACCAATATTCTATAGAAAATATTGTTTGACGCGGAACCTTGCATTGATTAATTATGTTGTAAAATTCAAACCCATTGGCTGTAGCAGCATGCTGATTAGCTGACGGTGACATGGCTGCATTCCTCAGCAAAGCACATATTCCTCAAGAAGGCACTTTTCAGGACGAGAAATGGAATCTTTGCCTATGGTGATCATTGGGCTGTAAAAGCTCCTGGTTTGTGCTCGTCATTACATAACATTTACTACATTTATCATTACTACATAATGTATTGCATTTATCATTACAGCTAACAAGGACACACCTGGATCTTACCTGACAGCCCTCACCTAAGCGACCCTCATCTCCTCTCTTGGAAACCTAAATGTACATCTTGTAGCGCTGTTGTGGTGGCTGCACCCAGATGCAAAACACCCTGGCATGCTGCTTGCTAACACAAAACTGAATCAGAGTAAGAGCTCTGCAATCTGCAATAAAATATTATGGCAGGTCACAGCAAAATACAAGAGAAAAGATTGCAAATCTGATACAAGCTTAAAATTGTATAAGATTTGGAGCAGGCAGTTTGTTGACGCCATCAAATGTATCAACCGCGCAGTATTTGTCATCAAATTTTGGTGCCGAGTCAAGGTCAAATGTCACGTGACATTTGGCCGACAGTTGTATAAATATATAATACCTAGGTATGTAGGTACCTTCTCAGTTCAGTTGAATCATTGGATAAATAACAAACAAACCTTGCAACAAACCCACGTCCCAATCCCAGTTCGAGTTCAATTCCAATTCAGGCCATGGTTACAGGTACAGAAAAAAAAACTAAAAAGGACACGAAAATAATGTACCTACGCCTCAAAAAATGTAAAAACCATAAACAATGCCCACCACAACTACAACAACCTATACGGCAACAACCAAAAAATACAACATACCAAGGCCATCCAACAACATGCAGTTGCGGCAAATCTGTTCAGGAGAGAGTCGTGAGCGCAATACTGCTCACAGCGACTACTCAGCCAATCATCGTAAGACATATCAGCTTCTGACGTCACACGCATTATACCGCAACGTCAAAATCCCAGTGACTGATCTCCGCTGGTGGTCACCGTTCCGTGCTTCTATCCTCAGGATACTGAAATCCTTCTCCTCCACGCCGCAACACCGCTCCGGGCTGGACAGGCAACTTTATCTCATGCGGGCCGCTCCCTTGGAGCGGCACCGTTGCTCCCGAGGGAGCGCACCCGTACCCGGGTGCAGTGAGTGCCCTGGGGCTGGGTGGCCTGTCCTCTGGACGGGCTCAGCCCCGGCGACTCACTAGGGTGCCTGCCCAGACCAATGTCTCCCCCTATATCCTATCATCCTCCCGGCTCTGAAATGGTCTCATTGGACCGAAAGGGCCTAACCCAACAAAACAAAACAAAACAAAATCTCCGCTGGTCAGTCTTTTTCTCCACACTTTAGAATCACCTGCTCGGACCAAACCCTTTGGATCTCGATTGCCGTAAGTATCTCATCGTCTGCCGTCGTACTTCTAACAGGCTTATTAGTATCACGACCCTACATTTCATCTCCTCGAAATGACCCTCATACCGTGGCATCTGGTTGACAGATGACATCAAGTCCGGTACACTTTGCTTGGTTCGTTTATTTTCTGGCTGATAAAACACGCTAGAAGACCTCAGAAACCATTTATTCTGAAAACATCCAAGTAACGATGCCGTAGAAGTTTCGGAACGACCTGAGGCCCATTTCACCTATGGGACACACACGTGAACTAAACTGTACGAGTGCACCTGCCAACATCAACAGTCGCATCGCAGACAACACTTGAACAACATAAACATAGTCCCTATCACACAGATGCTGAAGATTCATTGGCAACATTCGCAGCAAATATCCCACACCAACCCTGCAGGTCACTTCTACCGGCTCCCCATTAGTCATGATCACTACATTCATCCGTACTCGGCCCGTTGCGACCGACGCTAGCAAACATCACTCAAACAAACACCTTTGCAGGCGTCAATGCGCAAGGCCGGTAGCTGACTAAAACGCATCCTCTTTTTGATGCACTGTTACACGCTCCATCCCCCTTTGACTAACGACTAGTCTACATTGGGATCACATGTGAATCGCGCCCGATAGCAGGCGTCCGAAGCGAACTACTTCCACCGGGACTTTTGTCTCGCTGCGGAGGGCATCAGGCGTCGGCGGATCAGCCCAGGGATGGACCCGCTGCCTACCGCTACCAACCACTCCTACCAGCTGCCACCCCTCACGCTACCCATTACAGCCGGGGTCTGAAGGACAAATGACCCACCGACTGCCCTCTGACGCCGGACACGGACGCTGCCGTCGGCGCCGCCCGGTCACGTCCAGCCGTCTCAGCGTATCCAAGTCACGCCAGCCAGACCCCATCGAGTGCCCAGCCGCAACCAGTGGAACTTCTAGTGATGAAACGTACCTACTGCATCGCGTCTAGTCCTCACCCCACACCCAACATTACAGATAAATTTACCTGGCAGAAACCTGCAAAATCAAACGGGCACCAGTTCCGATAAAAAAGAATGCACGCTAACTTCCGTTGTCTTTTTCCGTCAGGTCTTTTTCCGTCAGGAATTACGTTACCATAATAAACAGCTATCATTAATCACGTTTCACCATCACGTTTCACCCATCTCTGAGACGTCGGGCGACTGGGAGCGAGGGTTGCAGCAGCAGCTGGCAGTCACCTGGAGAGCCCACAGCCTTGGCCACTAGGACTGAGAGGCCGGCGTCGGCTCTTGATATTGAGCTAGTACATCACTGAGTCGGGGATCGTCCAGCGGCGCGTCCGTGAACAGACAACCTGCCGGCGGGGGAGAGCGGGTCAGCCCGGGAGACTTGGGTACGAGTGGCGAATTTGGACGGATAAAGTTGATTGCCGATTCCCTTGTTACGAAAAAAAAATCTTGCATCAAAATAATCATTGAGGCCGAGTGATGTTATGAAGTTATAAAGCGTCATTGAGCACTGAACAGTAAAGACGAAATAAAATATAAACACTTGTACTTCCATTCAGCGCTCACCATTTCCGTTATTTTCTATGCCGTTATTGAGTCCACCATCTTCTCCACAACCTGCCACTACGTAGAAGAAACTCCTATTAATTTCAAGTAAAAATAACCACCCGCCACCGACTTTTCAAATAACCATCCTACCCTGACCACGCCGCTAGTTTCCCCGCACACTGACCGATGAACACGTGGCTGCCCCAGACGGCGTGGCGGATGACCTTGCAGCAGCCCAGGTCGTCGATCTCGAAGCCGAGCCGGCCGAGCCGGTCATCGGTCTCGATGAGCCTATCGTCGGCGTCGGCGGCGGGCGCCAGCTCGCCCAGGTGCGGCCGGCCCGTCGTCGGGTCCACCAGGTCTGCCCAGAAACCGCGCCGCCGCAGGCCCAGCACGATGTCGCGACCGACAGAGACGAACTGGGTGACACGAGGACGAACGTGACATTACATATTCGAACAGTGCTCACAGACACATTTGAGTGAATATGGAATAATGCGCTCATTGGGCGCAACATCTCAATGTAATAACATACGGTACAAAAACCTTCTATGACAGCAGCCAACTAAAATGCATCTCAAAACAGGAGGAAAAAACGTCATGCACTAAATATCACAGACGCTGCGTGAAATCAGGAATATTTCAGCGTTCTGCTTGCTAAAAACGCGGTCTCGCTGAGTAAGTTATCCTCTGCAGATGATCATATGTACAATCTTGGTTTCATAGGTGAGCTGAAGCCGCTCCCTCATAGCGGCAGAAGCTGTTATAGTCTATGACCAGAGACTCCTTCAGCCCCCCCCCCCTCTCCGCCAACTGTGGCACCGACTCGCCCCGCCGCGCATCCCTCACCTGCGAGGCGAGCTCGAGCCGCTCCTGCTCCACCTGTTCGGACCAGGTGGCCATGTCCTGGTCGGTTCGCTGGCTCACCACCAGCACGGTCAGGCGGCCGGCGGCGATGTCCCGCTCCCGGAACAGCGGCCGGAACTCTGACGGAGGAGCGGGGTTATCAGTCACACGGGTGATGCCATAGGTTATGCTGAACGGTTGACACCAAAGAGACATCACTGGTACAGCGCTAATACAAGTGCGACACCGGTAGAGTTCCACGCCAGTCGAGCTGGTAAAATTCACCTTCATTCGGAACTCAGGTCTCAGGTATGAGTTTACTAGCCTAAGTCGGAGATACACACTTCTTAACTTCCTTTAGCAGCTGAGGAAGGACTGCTGACCTTCCAACAACGGCTGGGGACGGCCCACTGACCCTGCTTCACCAGCTGGGGACGGATAGCTGGGGACGGCCCACTGACCTTCCTTCAGCAGCTGGGGGCAGTCGTGTGCCTGGATCTCAAGCAGCACCGGCTGGACGGGAGTGACCTCAGACGGAGCGGGTTCGCCCGGCATCGGGCTCAGATAGGTGAACAGAGTCTGGGGAGAAGAAAGAGGACCAGTCAATAATCAAATGGAAGACACCACAAAAAATAGCTGTTTTGTTTGATGGCGACAGTACGCTGAACACCTTTGCCTGGCCCTGAACTACATGCATCGTCGTCGAGCAAACACAAGACGTATTTATGGGTCATTTTTGACAATCACGTCACATTTACAACTTGACATATTATGACTAGCATAATGTAAGTAATACAATTCATTATTCAATTCAGCACTTAACTATAATTGGTCAATACTTGCACCTGACTGTTCAGAAGTCACCACCCCACCCTACGTTATGCCCACAGAATTTGTGCTATCCCTGGGATACCCCCATGCACCCCAGGCCCCAGCTCTGAGCTCGCCCCCTCCCGGTACCTACTACTTACCCTCCCTCCTCCCCGTTAGCCGTCACTGACCGCCATGTGTCTGTCGTGCAGCAGTTCGGCAGCCGTGTCGTTTCGGACGCGCCCGCGCCGCTCGGCCGGTCTCTGCGGCGTGGGCGGCGGCAGCGGCGGAGACAGCTCCTCAGCGAGCCCCCGTCCGCCGGGCAGCGGCAGCCGGCGGTCCGTGTCACCCAGCAGCTCAGCCGCCACCGTCGGCCGCAGGGGGCGCACTGCGGCAGCCACAGACAGGAGGCGTGGGTGACATCAGAGGGGTGACCGGATGGCAGCCTTGTGAGCAATCAGTCACAGAGAGCGTACTGAGAGGCTGACAAGGACAGAGAGCAATGGTGGCAGTGGAGGAAGGCCGATGTTTGACTTTGGACAACCTTTTCAATAGCAATAGGTCACAGAGGGCATGTAATACTGAATGCGGTGCAGACAATGCTTGGAAGCCATAAGTAAATGCATGAACAAAACAGAAGGAAGTCTTAATAAAATAGCAATGTCAAGATGATGCATCCATAGCTTTTACATACCTTCAACTACTGTCTCAGCATCATGAGTCACATCATCTTTAGTGGAGAGCGGTCGGAGAGCAGCACTTATCTGCCGCAGTGTTCTGTAGAGCACTGCACCTCGCCGCCCAGGCCCCAGCAGCTGTGACACAGCAGCAAATGGTGTCACTTGATAACAGGGCAGGTCTGAGAGGTACAAACAACCAGACTGACATGGCACTAGGAAGATCTGCTTTTTACTATGTGCTGCCATAGATATGGTGCTGCTTATGACACAATTTCCATTCACATTTCAATATACATGCTTTAGTAAAACTGAACCTGAGGTCAAAATGGCTTTTCGAAGATAAATTTTCCTCCTACTATGTCATTCCATGTCCTGAATCTAAGAAATGATTCTAATTAGTACAGCAAATACCACAACAAACCATAGAGATGTAGTCATCTGAGTCCGACCCAACCTAATCTGACCTAACTCTTTTAACCATTACATCATCAGCATAACATCATTTTAACCTACACCTACACTCTACAGTACAGAAAAGAAACTGGAATCATCCTTAAACAACCATTTGGACCTCAGTTTCAGCAATAACCAATCCAAAAATATTATCTAATGAGCAGTAACACATAATATAATGAATTTAAAATAGAGGTGGCAAAAGATGAAAATTTTGGGAACCAGACTCGAACCAGACCCGGCTGGACATTTCTGGAACCAGTCGGACCCGGTCTTAAGTGGAACCGGAACCAGTTGGACCCGTTCCCCGAAAGTCAATTAATACAAACCACTTGTAGGTATCATTAGTTGCATCATGTAAAACAGCCTATTTCCCACTGGGAATAGGTACTCATGAGCTAGGCACTGTGTGCAAAGAAACATTCACTTCATTCACTTCACATTTTGCAATAATGTGTAGTGTGCAAGATGTATAGTTTATGGTAGGACCCGGTTGGACCCGTTAGAAAATTTCCAGGAACCGGTTTGGACCCATATGGGTCCAGACTGGTTCTTTGGACCGGGTCCTCGGGTCCACATTTTGCCACCTCTAATTTAAAAGTAGGATCATTCCATTAAAGGGACACTCCCACCTTAACATTAGTTTTGAGTTGAGATAGCCAAATTGGTGGCCATGGCCTGCAAATACCGGTTTGGGCACTCACAACATTGACAAATGCTTTAATTCGGAGATATGGAATTTCAAACTTGCAGTTTTCGGATTCTAAGGGGCTAGTGCATTGGTATGCCCCCTTAGAATTTGTGACGTCAGCGGAGATCTAATGATTTTTAAATCTTTACTAAAACGTTTGGTAGCACGCGGTGGTATATGCTGCTTTGCGCGCAACAAATGCCGCACTTTCAAATAAAGTCGCTAGGAACAGCGGAGATCCCAAAAAGTAAACAAAAGTAAAAGTCTAATATCTTGAAAACCGGTGAATATTTTTCGATGAAATTTGGTAGATATTCGTTTTTGCTCTTTCTGAACCGAGCGACATCACTTTCGTGACAATTCATTAACTTTTTTGAAGGTGGGAGGGTTAGGTGCAAAATGACCTTGTAGTCGGCGCGCCCTTAAGCCCCAATAAACAAGAAGGTGGGAGGGTCCCTTTAAAGCTAGCACACAGAACAGGATCAGAAACCATCTGCTGATCTGTGATGACTAATGGATACAACTTAACAACCACAGTGTACCTAGATGCTTACCCTCAAAGCCATCACTGAATGATTGACCCTGGAAAAAAAAGAGATTAATGATATCAATACAGTTCATGGAATAATAACATCATTGCTGACTGAAGTGGCTTACATCATTAACTCAGACTGAACTGAAACCATTAACAGTAGATTCACTGTACAAATAACCAATGGCATCAATATTGGGAAATTTATTCAAGATCAAAGGCAACTGGCCAGTCAATATACCAAAACACTATGGCCAGCCCTCCCATGACGTCAACTTAATTTATTTGGAGTAAGCCCTTTCCAGCTGAAAGGGTCATTGCAGAGCCATGAAATGAAATGACAGGGTCATTGGAGTTTGCTGTTTGAACTGTGCAGAGTTGCTGATCTCTATGGGCTCTGTGGCACTGGCAGTGCCCAAAGCAACAGAGACAAACCAGGATTTGGAATAGAAGTATAGTTATCTTTGATGATCTGGATCAAAAATTACTTTACTACTAGGCTCAACCAATCCTGGGCTCAAACCACAAGTTCAGACTATCTAGTTCATATTGTCTGGTGCAGGTGACCATCAACCCAGAAGGGGAAGTGCGATGGGGGATGTACGTGGGTGGGCTTGTCCTGAGGAAAATGAAAACAATGACAGATACAGCCAATGTCAGTAGGCGGAACTATGGTCATGAGTACCCAAATATAGGAACGTTCCCATTTTTGGGAACGGAGTTCCCAAATATGGGAACGGGCGTTCCCATTTATGAGAACGGAAGGCAATTTTTCGGCCGTTCGCCCACTAAAACTCAAAAGTGCATCACGTCTCAAAAAAGTGCACGCTGATTTAAGTATCTACTAAATCTCCATAAAGTTATCTTTAATCTGACCGTGGAACAAGGAAATTGTCCGTGGAATGATATTTTTAATGATTTTTTAAAAATGACAGAATGGTGGAAATATGGGTTATACGACATTTAACATGCAATTTTAAGGAAAATGAAGCATTTTTTACATTTTGAGGTCAAGTATAATAATTTTCGCCTGGTTATGAAATTTCATTCTAGCGACACCAGATGCTGACATATGCAAGCGAACACGCGGACAGTCCCGAGGTAATATTGTTGACTTTTGGTGTCGGGGGCGATCGACCGCGTGGAACGTCAGTGATTTTACCGAACTACTGTTGTTAACTCAGTTTCAGTGGTTTAAAATCATTCAGCTGTATTTTATCAGCCCTGAAAGACATATTTTATTTGGATGCTAGCTGTTTAGCGTTGTTTTATAAGCAGCGTCATGAGCGTGGTTTTTGTCTTCGGCGTTTCTAAGCATGATCGTTTGGGGGAATTTCTCTGATATAGGTCGCTCTGTGTGGCTTATTTATAATTTTTATGCTGATTTCGATCATACCTCGTGCCCATCCTACCAGGCCTTTTGCCACTTACACTCATTAAGAAAGGAAAAAACTAGATTTTCATTGGGACTAGGTGTTTTGAGGGTGTAACATATTCAGCGTTCCCATTTTTGGATACTTCTTGTGCTCGTCAACTCTCGGTGATTAGCAGACAGGTGCTTGACATGTCTCCACCCTCGGCGCGGACGGTGGATATAGGTATGGAAGACCTTGTTGAACATCGCTGAGCGTTGTGGATTACGTAATCCTGCAGAGGGGGCGTGCCCGCTGCGAGATCGACGGGAATAAAAGCGCAGAAGACCGGGCGAAACATGCGACGGTCTTGCCGGAAAGGTCATCTGATGATTGTTGCGTTAACAATAATTTGCGGCGTTGGACGTGATGCTTGTTAATGAAAAGAGCCCCTGAAAGGCGTCGGTGAAATCGTTCCCAATTTTGGGTACGCCGTTCCCATAATAAGGAACGCTTGCAGCGCCAGTGTACGAGAGCGTTCCCAAATTTGGGCTCGCGGCCCGGGTGATGGACTGCTTTAGAAATAGGGGAACGATTTGAAACTACGATGGGCCTTACAATATCAAACTCTTTCCAACAATATTGAGACAACTATCAGGCGGTTCACGATCGTTTTATATTTTTTGGACGTCATTTAACAGTTCTTTTTCTTGTTTTAAATAATGCCTACATGGCGTTCCCATATTTGGGTTTATCGTTCCCAAACATGGGAACGAAAATGCGTTCCCGAAAATGGGTACGCTTGACCATAGTTCCGCCTACTGATGTCAAAGGCATAAGCTTGCCTTCAACTACAGTCCTGGGTTACTTCGCCAATCAAAATCATAGGGTCAAGGTTGCCTTGCCAATACCCAATCATGATTTGTGTATTGGCAGACATGCAATAAATAAACTGGCATGCTACTGAGCTCAACTTCAAAGTTTTAATATCCAAATACTTTCAACCATTGCTGCGGAATTAATGGATTTCAGGGTCATGCCAACTCTGAATCTGACTTCAAATTGATTCAGGCTCCAACTCCTGATGGTTATATAAAAATATGTAATCTGTATCATGATTAAGGTTAAGGTTAGGTTGATGAGCTTGGAGTAGACCAGGGGTCTATTTGGTGCTCATATCAAAGATTTGGGACTGGATTTTGCATGAACGGATGGGTTAGCAGGTTAACTGGTCAGACTTTGGTGGCCCAATGTTGGTCTAGTTTCTTTGAAGCTGTTGACTGACGCTGCTGCCACAACATGTTCAGGCAAGCTATTCCACGATGTTACGACTCTGTTGGCAAAAAACTTGTTTCTAAAATGATGCAATGTTCTCCTTTTCTTGAGTTTAAGTTTAAACTGATATTGAAGTTCATAATGGAAATGTTTTTATTTTGCCTAAAACGATCCCTTGAGTGTTCCAAGGCTTTACGCTGCAAATATGCATTAAAAATAGTATGCAGGATTAAAAAGCAGGTTCTGGGGAATTTAACATCTTCTGCTTTTTGGCTGAAAACATTTGTCCAAAACAGCAAAATGGCCTTGTTTTGAAAAAATCTTATTTTGAGCGCAGTATTTGTCAATCAAACAGGTGCACCATGCAGTGCACGATGTTTAGCCTGCATAACTCCGGGCAGAACTGTCGACTCTGACCAACTCTCGACTCTGCAGCCTACGAATATCTATTTGATAGTGATATACCTTGTCGAACAAAGCCTTACTAGAAACGACCAATGCCGTATACAGGAGCGACCAAGAGATTATCAAAATTATTATTTAAATTGAAATAGAAAATGAAATAAATGGGAAAACGGGGAGAAATCAAAATTACAATCAAGGCTATAGAACTCCAGGTAAGGACACCAGCCGTTTGACCTTGAACGCCGCCGGCCGGCCGATGACGTCATTGGAGGCAAGCCGGCTCGGCGGACACACAGGGCCAAGGCCCTATATACCAGGTAGGGTCGTCCGGCGATTCTACCTGATCTTGACGTCAGCTTGTGACGTCATCCGGGGGCAAGTCTTGAAGCCCCGTTTGAGTCCCATGTAAATGTGCGATTTTTGAAGCGCTGTAGAACACACTCTGTTGGAGCTAGCACAAAACTAAGTGCATCATCGGAAAGACGAGACATTTTTCTTTGAATTATCTAAGAGCAGTTTTTCACTAATCCCATTAGTTTTTCCGAAAATGCGTAAAAAGCCCCCATGCCTCCGCAGCCTCCCTTCCGCCGGCCGCTGCGCCGCCGCGGTAGTGTAATGGTTAGAATGCTTGCACCGTGATCCAAAGGTCGTGCGCTCGAATCTAGGCGCGGGTCGGACTCAATTTGAAATTGCAAGCAGAATATGTGTTTTTTCTTTCAAAATCACTTGTATTACAGCTAACCGTTCATAAAACTATCCATAACAATTGACTGAAAGCCAAAATATAGATCACATTCTTATAAAACAAATTCAAATATGGCGGCCGTTGCGCTAGGCTCCGCCCCCGACTCCGCCCCTTCGTGTGACGTCATCTGTGCACTTGGACACACAGGGAGATAGGGGACGACATGGGCCTGCACAGGGCGAATGCATAACGGAGGGGCGTTGGAACGTTGCGGGAGCCAGGGAGATATTTTAAAGTGGTTGCATACCACCATTGTTTGTTGATTGATCTACAGACTGCATCCTTTTAGACCTCGATGCATTCTAGGCCTGGATGGTGCGTACATTCGTGGAACGATCACCCCGTCCGACGTCCGTGGTCGAAGCTGTCATAGTATTTAAGACACTAAGACGGGTGCAATAACGGCGATCCGATTCCGTCTCTGGCGAATTTAGAGGGGTCGTAAGGACCCAGGCCGAATCTGACCGATGATGAGAAGGGATCCCGTCGTCGATTGTTGTTTGACAGACAACACATGTTGTACTGGGCGTATGACCATCAGAGGTAATGCCTGAACGTAGGCAAGCATAATTGGTCTGTCATATTGTTTAGGAATGTAAAATGGTAATGGAGATCATTGAGGACGTTTAACAAATCTCTATCTATCTATCTCTACATTACGGGAATTCACTAATTCCTACGGCCCATAGGGGCACCGCCGGAGCTGTTATTTTGCCATCGGTCCCAGGCAACTCCAGGGAGCTGCAGTCACCCGGCGGCCAAAGCGGCCACCTCGTCGACTCGCAGGTCTTCTGGGATTCACCGTGATGCTTTAGTGCTTCACCCACAGAAGCACGGGCATAGCAGTAGGATGTGGGGCTAGGTGTCTGTCCACCTCTTCATTCAAAGAACCGGCCCCCAGTCAATGGCATTGGTAGCTTCACGCTCTGGTGACGTAAGCAGAGCGTGAAGGTTTTTTTATTTTCCCTTCACTAGTGCTTTACCTATGGGAGATACCGATTTCGAAGGCAAAACTAAAAGTCGATTTATTAACTTATTAGTCGAGATACGTATAAACCGAGTGTACCATACGACAGCCTGATCTTTCTTCTATCGATACCCGCATCCACTTTGGCGATGGTACATACATAAAACGCTGAAATTTGGCGATAGGCGGGAAGGTGCAATCCTAAACGGTATCATTCAATTACATCTTGATGGTTGCTTTTTCGAATGCTCGGAACATACCGAGTAGTGATGAACCTGACCTTTGATTCAAGCCGGATCTTGCAATACCAGCAGCTTTTTCAGGTCAGGTCAGGTCACTGACCTTTGACGTCATAAGTGAACCTCTGCACGGTCCTCAGATACCGCAAGTTCGCAACGCCCTCAGTGTCAGAGCAGATTTCACAAGGAGATGAAACTTGCAGGACCTAGTATCCTCCAGAAGTCTCACAACGTGTATATCTCGCTTTTTTATTCAAGGTCACATGAGGTCAGGCCAGTCATATGAAGTCACCATTATAAGCCAATGGGGGAAACTTATAAACAGCTATTTTGGAGCCCAGAACGATCTCAGACTAGCTGTAACACACGCAACCGTGATTATTCCATGCACTCTTTACAAGGTTCGATGCTTCATTTTTGCACCAAGAGCTTGCATGACGTCATTGATGACGTCACTAGTGTCATAAGTTTTTCGACAATAACTTCTGATCAAATTGAGCTAGCGAGTCGGGAAAGCCACCAATAGACTCGGGAAGACCTGCCAAATCGAATGATATGTGACATGACCTTCGACCAAGTTCGTGCCCTTGGGATCTCTGACCTCACCGTGACCCGAGGTCAACACCCAAAGTTGGCCTCACCCAAATGAAAAAGAATACCATTCGACGCGCCTGAGCAGGGCGAATACGATGCAGTCAAAATCGCGGCCCTGCAATCATTTTTTTGTGAAGTTATTCGCCAAAACCGAACCCGTACCTTGGGCCACTTGACCTGACCTCAGAGGTCACCGGTTGACCTGAGACCTTAAAATCGGGTACAAAACGCTGCATCTCGTAACGACACACACGCTCGTCTTTTCTGCGACGTTCTAGCTCCATTAGGGGCGAAACGGCGAGATGGGGTCGTACCTCCCGCCCCCCCCCCCCCACACCCCGGCCCCCGGCCGGCGCGTATGTAGAAAACCAATAAGTCCGGCGAGGGTTAAGCGGGTTCCACTGTGCACAAACAGCTAAGGGTTGTGCATTTAGTATGGTCATGAGAGAATCCTGTTTGATTTGGGCTCATAATACAATGCATGATCACTTCTTGTTCATAATGTTCATAATATGTTCTAATATGTTCTATAATAATGTTCTTGTTCATAATTCATGATTTTCTTCTTCCCAAAAACAAAAAATAAATGCTCTTCTCCATATTCCCCTTCACTCAACAACTTTTGATCACTTTTCCCTAAAGGCCTAAGGTAATGCATTGGTAAAAACACAAATGGATGGCTCATCTCAATAGTCAATACTTCTGTCTCCTAATGATCCTAATGCCTTTGATCATGGTGGCAATGCAATGTGATGATGACAGCATTCCATTTATCACCACTGAAACACAACTTAGCTCAAAAACACTCATATACATAAATTTATTTATCTCCATTTGTGCAAAATTACTTAACTTATCACATTCTTTGACTATTGCTTCAGAAAGACATCAGACCATAAGATTGTGTGAAACAAGAAAAGATTATCAGGCAATAGAGTTGATATATGTGTAGATGAAGTCCAGATTGTAGACTTGAGTTTGGTAGGTTGTAGGAGTTAGGTTGTAGGTTTTAGGCTGGTGGGTTCATAGGTAGTATATTGGTTGGTTGAAAGCTTTGAGTTAGAAGGTAAGGTTAGGTCAGGTTAGATGTTCAAAATCTTCACTGGACTTCATCTTCACATTTACCACAGAGTTGACACTTGACAAGCTGTGCCAGCCAATCTAGCAACTAAGTATTCCTCACTAGCACGCACATAGGCTGGAAATGTGCACAATCACATGAAAAAAGGCTGCAAGTTTGGGAACTCTGCACTTATATGGAAACTACACTAATATTCAATGATGTCTCATTTGCCTTCTGAAAATTTCTTAGATAGCATTGCATCAACACTCAACAGTGTCAGCTCATATCTCAGCACAGCCATTCGGCATGGCATTTACCACATCATGGCACGCATTGTGCACTGATTCACACAAAATTCACACCACAATTAATCTGCACTGCATTGTGCATTGGCTAAGTGCCTCTGCCTGCACATACATCTTGCTGAACTGGCATTCTTAGCAATATAATGTTGCAGCCGCAGGCATTGTAAGCATCAGAAGAGAGCCTGATGTTCTGGAGATTAACGGAGCAGTTTGCCAGTTTGAACATGCTTGCAAATCTGATGTTATTCATAGGTCTAAGCCTGACTTCGAGGAAATTTGAAGAATAATTTGAAACCAGTTGCAATACCGTTATTCCAGCCGCTTCAGTTTCACTTTTCAGCGAAGTTGTGCAGGGCCATAACAAGGCCTTCTTCACTTCAAATAATAATTGCCATTGCAAATTGAAATCAGAGGCAGAACTGAATACCACAATTATTGAAGAAAATTCTAAAAGTAAAAATGACTGCGACGAAAAAGTACTGACGGCAACAGACGCGATTTCAATAATAGAAATAGCATATCACCCAAAGCTACCTATACTGTAATTTGTTTACCTCGGCCGCCGAAAACACGTGTTTTTTTTTCGACCGACTGCATTCGCCGACTCGCGGCCCCAGATGACGTAATCAACAAATAATTGGCCAATAGAGATAATAAAAAATGATTGCTGGAGCAATACAAGAAAAAACAGGTAACACAATATAATTTTGTTATTTAATAATGTCAAAAATTCGTCTTAACGACCTTAGATGGGGACTTTTTACTTTATGACGTCATGTGTGCCAACAGTTTTCAAGAGTACGTATAACAGTGGAATAAACCAACCTCTATTTGTAACTTGTTCGCCATTTCTGTCGACATTTGACTGCTACCATATCCCAAACTCTGACTGTACCCGGTGTTCTATATACTCTGCAAAGAACAACGTGTACAGCGCCTAGCGCTGTTCGGCAGCCGGCTATTTTGTGTGCAGGGTATGACGCATTCCGCGAGCCGACGTCACGGGCGATGACGTCGGCTCGCGCGTGAGCCGAGCGCCAACGACAAACTAACGGGAACCCGCGGACACCCTCGGGGCATAAACCGTGGAGTAGCATATTGAGCGAGTCTTATAAGGGAAATTCATATATTTTTGTTTCTCAAATGATAATCAGGGTGTCTCTTACCTTTTTACGTATTATTTAGGCTTACCTAACACTTCAGTTGCCAAATATCTGCAATTTATTCAAACAAAGGTATTTTCAGTAAATATCGATGCTATAGACCGAAATCTTTTGAATAAAAACTCCAACCAAT